CTTTATTTCATATTCATATTTTTAACCTAAACGATTTCCGTTGAATTAAAAGAGATTTCTAAACCAATGTTGATGATCTCATGGTTAGGACACAGTGAATAGAAAAGTGGATAACCTTTTTCCTGTATAACGTGGTGGTCTTCTTTGACAATGATCAGGTATAACGAGAAAATGAAATGTAAATATCGACACCGTCATATGCAGACAAAATATTAAAACCACAGTGTAAAAATCTCCAAAATCAGAATTATAACGGTTCTTTTGCGAAACAAAGGACTTGATAAAATGTAGTAAATTGCAAGGAAGTGTACGATACTTCGGAATTAGTAAGATTGCTTCTAAATATATATAAATTTAAAATCTTATTTTGTATATTTCAACAGTGTCTTTATAATTTTTGGTTCAATGTTAACATATTACAGATTGCTACATTATTAATTCGAAAGTAGAACAAGAGAATGAAAGTAAAATAGGAAACCTGAATTGAAATTACTCGGCCAAGACTAAAGATGCTAAGTATGACTACTTACAGGTTTCCGATTCTCCCGATTCCTAAATTTTCGATTCAGATTCTCGGTTCCGAATATAGATTCCACGACATATTACCGAGAAAACATATCCACCTAAGCAGTACCGTATTATGGAATCAAACGAGAAAGCGATGTTCGAATATCTGGACGGACAAGGTCAAAACTAGGTATAGTATGTGTATCCAATCTGTCACAGGAGACAAAATCGCACAAAAAAACGAATCTCTAAGAACCCACAGAGATTTTAGAAATGAATAAACGTGAAAGCCTTATAGCGAAAAATATAGTAAAGTTTGCTGCGTCTTAGCAACTCAACATATCAGTAAAGCACTTCATACGTATATGTGAAGGAGTTGCTACAAAACAATCGATTCTAGTCGATTCCACGACGAATCGGATCTGTAATCGAATCCAACCTCCCTAGCCAAGACACCGTGTGGTAATCAATACCATTCTTGTCAAACACCTAATCCAGGGCCAATCGCAAAGTAAAGCAACTTCGCTTTGTATATTCGATAAACAAGCGGCTGACACTGATACAAAATGACATAATTTCCGATTCGCGTACCAGCGGGTCATCTACTCATTCCGATGTATTGTGATCAAAATAGCTATAAAAACGGTACCTGCCCACTAGCGCAAATTTTTTTTCCAAATTTTAAATCCTATTCACTTGTGTGCGCATGTTTGACAGAAATTAAGCGACTCCGGAAATTCTTCACGCGACTCCATCCGGGGTCGTGAACCACTGGGTAACTCTCCCATATAATCTATGAGTTTACTAAAATATTAATATTATTTGCAATAACATGCACAACTAAATATTGTCAATATGACCTTTTATTCAAAAAGGTATGACTTTCCGAACTAATACCCATCTTAGAATGGATTTTTAAATACACAGGCCTGAGCAGAAAGGGTGAGATCCCTTCAATATAAAGCACCTTTATCTGCTAGTGGTGTAGATTCTAGTTCAGCAATGCACGCAAAATCAAGCATTACCTCTTCATGTTTTATAAACATATTTTTATTTGATATAAGAAATCTCGGGTTTGAATATAAAGAGTGAAATTATTTTGTTTGCACACATAATTCAGTATATCGCATCGCTGCTGTTATTGTTTACAACTTTCAATTTTAAACTTCCGAGCCTGAAATTTGTGTATATTTTGGACATGATATGAACAGACACTTTAGTTAGACGGAGTTCGAACCTAGGAAAACTGTATACCCCGTTTACAAATCTTCTTGGATTGATGTTTCAAAGTTCCAAAAAATACGCATTTTCGTGAGCAATTCAAATTTTGAATTGCATTGACTTTTACATGGGGTCCTAATTCCAGGGATGTCGAACCATTTTGATGAATGGGTCAAAATTTGTTTTGTATCATTGAAAAGAAGACTGTGGGTCATAGATGTTCAGTCGAATCCATCAATGAGAAACATACTGTTACATATTCCAGCAAATCGTACAATCCTTGGTTGTATCCATTGTGTATAGGTTGAGCTTGACACATACAATACCTGTATCAAGAGTATAGTAGTTCACATTTTGTTAGATCAAAACAAGGGTTGTTTTATTATCAATATTTATCATTCATAATTCAAAAATATTTGGACGAGTAAATTTGCGTTGAATGTTATTTTATTCCAACGAATCATGATGCGATTTTGAAGTCAAAAAACTAAATAGTTATCTTTCTCAAAAGTTGGGTATGGTCCTTTGAAATATGGAGGAGAATGTAAAATATATTATTAATGTGACTTCAAGGTCAAACCGAAAAAATCCATGCGCGCTTTTAATATGCGCGTTTCACAAACGCGTAGGTCATTTTAATATTTCTATAACTTCAATGGAGGTGTTCATCATCGATACCGAGGCCAGTGGCTCTCGACCTTTTCAGTACTATTGATTATTTAGATGATTCGCCAGAGATCTACTGAGCCCGCGAATAAAACTTGTTAATACTGATGTATGCAAGTGATTTCTGCTTGAAATAATGCTTCTAATTAGAACTGATGACACAATTGTCTTGAATCAATAAAATGCTATAATATATCAATGACAACTGAATATTTCTTTGAAAGAAACGAATCTGATTGTTTGAAGAAAAGCTTTTATTTTTTACATCAGCTCAACGCGAATGAACTCAAACCATTAAGTGATAACAGTTCATTTTCACAGAAATATGTATAATGATAAAATGTACAAATTGGTACTTGTATTAGGCCGTATGCATACAAACTTTCCAAGCAAATAAATGAAGGTTATTGTTCATGGTGATATGCCACATGCAATTCCATCCAATTTGAGTCAAATCCAAAAACGCAATATTTTTTTTTTCAAATTTCCCGCAATGACAGTATATTTCATGCGTAAAGTGGTGACATAATATTGAACACGTAATCTCATTTACGATAGTATTTACTTAATACGTAAACTAGTGGGGCACTGCAATGTAATTGTAATTGATCAAATATATATGCTTACATTTTTTGTTTTCGATTATGCACGTACAAGCATGTCCCAAACATCAGACAATTGACTTAGGTAATATACTTTTTACAGTACGGATCCGTCTATTTAAACCAGTGGTTCTCAAACTTTTTGGAAAATTTTGCGTAACGGTCTTCTTGCAATTTTTTTGAGGACTCGCGATCCACTAAAAATTCAGAATAAGAACATGTTATATCGAGCATTGATTTATTGCATGTCGTTAGTACAGTTCAATGTGATGGGTGCAATTGCTTGGTTTCCACCTGTACATCTATTAGGGGTTCTGTTTGGGCCATTACTCTCGTACCATGTCTCATGTGTTACAAGTAAATACTAAAACTGTTTTCGGCACAATCCCTTATGAAAACCGCCACAACAGTGCTTTTGTGTCAGTGTCAAGTTGCTTTGCGGTCCCCCAAAAATCACTTGGCGGACCCCTAAGCGACCGCGGACCCCACTATGAGAATCAATTAAACCAAATCATGCAATTATACCATGCTGATTGGTTTAGCGAAATCCCTGAGAGCATTGGTATAATAATAGAAAAAGTTTTCTATTAGACACGATTTTTAAATAAAAATGACTTCAATAAATACGAGAGTTATATCCACATATATAAGTTAAATATATAAATAAACTTTTATCTGCTCTGAGGTTTGAATTTCTCTATATAATGCCGGGTTGGGATGAACAATTTACATTTCATCGTTTATTGAGCTTCTGAGCGAGCGTTTACAAAAAAGGGTTGCAAAATTTATCTTGAGTGTAACAACGCTGATTTCATTGTACCTCGGGGACAGCAATCAATTTTTTCAATACGTATTGAAGTAGGGTGGCGCATAATAAATTCAAGTTTTTTATGATATAAATGTAAATTTTGAATATCACGATATAATTTTGGTTATATTTATTCGGTTACATAAAAAGGTAATGACAATTCAGCTACAGATTTTACTTTATAGCCCCTTATTTTCATGGTGACAAAAACGAAGGGCATTATTCAACCTTGTGTGTTTCTTTAAGTAAAATTAGTTTACCTTATTATGTTGCAATTTCAGGACAGTTGCAATCAACCAAAACGTCGAATCCATCCCATTGACACGATATACCCATCGGTCTGTATGTTGGTGGTATGTGCTTTACAATTTGAACATAGGCCAGTATCAAAAAAGTATACTATAATCGCATATACTGCCAACATGCAGACAACGGCATAATTGCGTAAATTAGGGAGGAAAATACGGTTTCCAAAACAACAAAATACATTATAGCAACGATAAAATATGCCCAACTTGAGCAGCCTGTACGCGTGAACGTGTATTCATTATGGTGAAGAAGGGACAATTCAATTTTAATTGGCTCAATAAGAAAGCGGTAAGAGCGTGGGTGAGATTATAATAATGAGAGATTGGAGAATAGGCAGGAACAGCTTATACAAGTGAGTAATGCAAGGTTACGAACCGAAATTTACGGCATCGGGAATAAACGACTCGCGTATGGAAAGTCTTTGTCAGAGATTATCATTGTTTGTAGTTGAAATATGAATATAGGTGAAAATTATATAAATAGAATATAGTTGAATAAGATTGGTTACATGAGAAGCAGATTAGATTCAGCATAATCATCTGGGTCTAATTCATCAATTCTTGAATGGAATGAGCCACACCAGGAATGTATAGTTTCATACATAAAATCCAAACGTATAATATTCGGGAAATCAATTATTTCAAGTTAGTTCAAAGCAAGGTTACGAAACTCTAACTAAAAGTAGAGAGAGTATAAATTAAACAGGTGTGACAGATGATGCGTGATGAAAATTTAATATACTTCTAAAACTTGACTTGTATCACTCACAATTTATCACAGTTGCTTAGAAATTATTTTCTTGTTACAGTATTTTGCAGTAAAATTCAACTTGTTAAGAAGTAAAATATATATATATGATAATAACAAAGAGCTCTTATTACATCATTATGATTCTTAGAACCACCATATTAGCAATGCTCGTTTTCGAAACATGCATCTGCTTGGATCCACCGCACAAAGGTATGTTGGAACGTTTACTGTTAAAAAAAACATTATATTTATACCGACTGAAAATATTATTTCCTCAGCACGAGGGATATCTCAGTCGACAAGAACTCGTTATAAAAATTTCTTTTGAATCAAAGCCGAACACGCTGTTCTGTTCAGATTTGTGACACCATGTAGGGAATACTGAATATTAATAGTAAGCGCGCTAACGTGACTTCTAACAGGCTAAAAATTGTTTACTTGCTAATATGTTCAGTTTAATATTTTGCTCCATGTAGGGAATAAGTAGTAAATTGAAAAAAAAAATAGTATTTTTACCAATTTGACTGGTCATTCTATCGTTTAGTCATGAACAATTTTATTTATTTTAACAAATATATATTTTTATACGTATATACCAATGTTGTATACCCTATATGAGTCATTTAAACCAGATTACGTAATGTAACTTAAACTATATTCTGAGGAATATTTACTAATTTATATACATGCGAGATATATACTTTCATTCCAAATGACTACCGATGACTCGCCCACGAAAAGTTGTTCACGTTTGTTGGTCATTATAATTATAAATTTGTTTGTATAATTCTTTCTTTTTTGAACATTATCAAGAATAGAAATATTAGCGATGTTTCTTCCAGATAACAGACAATTAAAATGAAATAAAAAGACAATAAAACGGTTGGATAAGGGTATGCTTCGTTAAAAATGGCTTTGTTGGTTTTGGCATTTTATTTGTTCTTTTCATATGTGTCTGAAATAACGATTTTGACGTTGAGAATATCGAGAATTAATTCTCTCGTTTTGACAAAATACGTAATCTGTGTGAATCGTTGATTCATCCTTTTATTTGCAAATACCTGATGCTCACGATGTGTACACGCTTGATTCTGATTCCCCAACGCCAAGTTCGTTCAATTTAAGTTTGAAAACACGCTTTATCTGATTATGTGGCCGTGTTGAGTGCATTGTGACGCACTTGTTACGTCATTTATTCAACAACAAAAAACACAAAACGTTTCACGTCGCTTGTGTAAAGAAAAATTACGTCATACGATTTCAGCTGATTATTCTAGACTCCAGTCTAGAGTATATACACAAACAAATGTAAATATAGTGGTGAGGTTAGGCCTCTTATCTGATTATTTTAAATGTGGTTTAAATATATACAAATACAATTATTATTTCAAAATATATATCAAATATTGTTTAACATAGATTTTTCATGAAATAATCTTTTCATGGTTTTTATATTTTTGACACATGTGCTTCACTGTTTGTTGGCACAAAATTTAGCTGCGCAAAAAAATTACACAATATATTAGAATAAAAACGGGAATTTTCTTTTTTGGGAGAGCAAAAATATTATTCCCTGTTTTCATGGCGCGCATTGTACATAGCTTTAAATTCCGTAAATATTTTCGAAGTGCCAAAATTTGACGAATATTAAAAATACGAATGCGCTAGGATGCACATATATACGCAAAGGCCCTTACAATGCACATTTAAGCAGCTTTATTGAAGTTCAAGAATATATACCTGTCACCATAATTAATGTATTATGTTTCAACCGAAAATTCCGCTTCTGCCTATAATGAACAAACCGAAGGTCATAATACCATCGCCCGACCTCCCATTACATTCATCATATTTGCTGTAATAGAAGTGTTTATAGCAAAAGACTAGCACAAATTCCGACGAGTTTGTTTAGTATGTCTTTTCGGATATCAGATATACCTTATATATAACTTATAAATTCAATCGCCGAAAACCGGTATTTTGCCAAGCCCGTTTCTCTGCCGAATGAACTCAGTATATATAAATCAAAGATTGGGTTGATTGTATTGTTTAACAATCTAGTTTAAACTGCTCAAGTATTAACCAAAAATTAAAGGCGATGCTGGGAGTTTTCAATATTTTTCATTTGGATGTCATTTCGCCTTTTAATCTTTAGAACTAGAGAAACATCCTGAATATTGGATGCACGAGGCAAACACTAGATTGCGAGAATCATTGAAACGTTTGACGCCAAATACCAAACCTGCAAAAAATGTGATTTTGATAATTGGAGATGGAATGGATGTGGCAACAATGACAGCGGGTAAGCATTTTGAGGTGAAGACATTTCGAATGAAAATGTTATATATTGAATACATATTATTAACATTGAATTTTACGTATACAACAGGCAGAATTTACAAAGGACAAAAGTACGGTACTTCTGGAGAAGAATTTCAGACAACTATGGATAAATTTCCTTACGTTGGACTGAGTAAAGTTTATACATGTGAGTAATGAATTCAAAAGCACAAACACTATAAGAAGCGAATAAATAAGCAAGAATTTTGGTTTCGTTTCAGGGTAAATCGTACGGTGTTTACATCTGTTTTTTCAAATGCTGTCTCATTTTTGTAATGAGCAATTGCTAAATCCCTGATAAGAATATAAGGAAAATATCACAAAGATTGCAATTGGCTTGATAGACTTTGTGATATATTCTCGTATTTTTTGTAATATTCATATTATATTTCAGTAAATAGCCAAGCACCGGACAGTGCAGGCACGGGAACAGCATTGAACACTGGGGTAAAAACCAACAGTAAAATGGTTGGTTTGAGCGGACAAGCTTTACACAATAACTGTTCATCGCGTATTGGAAACGAAATTAAGACGATTTTAGAATATTCAGCGGACCAAGGTAACATGGAATTCTTTATTAGAAAATGTCCAAAAGCTAAAATAAATTTTATATGTATATATATTAATGTAAGTTTTAACACTCAAAATTCAACGTCGAAATTTGGCATCCAATGCGAAAGAAACAATACTTTTGAAAAACAACTTTTGAAGGCAATGAAAATTGCTTCACATTTTATTAACAATTGCTCGAATATTCCTTTTAGTAAGCCGGAGATAGAGGATATCTATATATGTCATTTGATTTGATGCTTAATCAAATAGTTTGCTTTATATTACAATATCCTGCCGAACTGCGTCATTGCAACTCAAGTCATCCTTGCAAAAGTCGAGCAAAATACTGAAAATTTCGATAACGTAAATTGTAAATTTTAAATGTTTTCCCTCCGTAGGTAAATCCACTGGAATAGTGACATCAACACACCTCACCCACGCAACGCCAGCAAGTGCGTACGCACACGCACCAAACCGTCAATGGAAAACAGACGCAGACCTTACAGAAGAAGCAAAATTAAATGGGTGTAAAGATATTGGTTCACAACTTATTGAACATGGACGTAAAATTAATGTAGGTATTTCGAGATCCACAAAATAACAGCCTCTGGTTGCCTTCTACACTGTTTTTGCGTGTCGAGAATCGGCTACTGTCCCAGACCCCCATCCGTCGCCCGGATGAATTGCCCATTTGCAAAACCTGGGCAACACCGTCGCAAAAATGGTTGGTGGCTAATGGATGATCGCAGTTCGCCTGGTATTTTCATCGTTCTTCAACAGACAGAAGAAAATTGACATATAATATTATTGAGATCTACTTTTTTTTTTAAATTTTGACGAGGATAAACTGTGAGAACTATTTCGTATCACATCTAGGTACTTCTTGGCGGAGGTCGAGCTTTCATGCGGCCAAAGGGTTATAAAGACGAGGAATACAGTGACGCGGACGACTCACTCGGTGGACGAAACGACAGCAGAAACTTGATTGAAGAATGGATCAAATTAGAAGGATCTGATAGAGCAAGGTAATTCCTCAACCGTATAATTTGGCTTGAATATATTGAACTTGGTGTTCCATTGCTTGTAATGTAATGATATGTACATGGATATGATGTATATATCATATTTTGGTTTCAAGGAGATTATTTCAATATATGTTCTAGAAATTGAGTGGGATGGGTAGAGTGAACTATAGTTTAAAAAGTCCATTTTGTTGTATTCGTTTATTTTTCCGGTTAGGTATGTTTGGGATCAAAAAGGATTTGACAATGTTGATCCCACAAACGTCGATCATTTGCTCGGATTATTTGAACCAGGACACATGAGGTTTGAACATGACAGAAGCAATGATCTTGCCGGGGAACCAAGTTTAGCTGAAATGACAGCAAAGGTACGTTTGCAAAGCAATGTAAATATTACTAATTTAAACGTAAAATTTTCTAAATACTTTTTGAAAATTGTCCTGTTCCAGCATAGGTTCATGCTACTTTTAAATTTTAGGCGATCGAAATATTAAGAAAAAACAGAGATGGTTATTTTTTGTTGGTAGAAGGAGGAAAGATAGATATTGGACATCATTCTGCAAAAGCCAACATTGCTTTGTCTGAGTTTGCAGCATTAGACGATGCAGTAAAGGTAAGGAGATATAATTATAATCAAAATAAGCGTCGATCAAGGAAATGAATGGCAGCTGGTTAGAAAACATACTTTACACCGGAAAAAACCAGAAGGAGTGTCCCTGATGAATTAAAGTCAAAAGAACAACGACATACGAAATCAATAATGAAAGACAGTAACTTCACAAATTGAATTGGGGGGGAACTATAAGACGGCTTTACCATATGGCGAACCACGGCCTCCCGTCCGGTTAGCATTCCATGTCGGGTATGGGATTAGTTAGTTATTTGTTTTCGGAAGCATGGACTTGGTGGTGGAGGAAGCTGTAACCGACCAGCGGTTACGTGAACCACTCAATGGAGGCGAGGAGTCCAGCAATCCTCTCCCACATAACCATCCCCGCATGGGATTCGAACCTGCGAACCCACGAGTAATCAGAGGTGCGCCAGCGAGCGCAATCAATCGTAACGCTTATCACTATGAGCCACACCGCCGCGCTTTTGTGTTTACTAGTCATGATTTATTTAGTTTAGTCCTTTCAAAGTTTTGTTCGCAAAATTTGTTTTCAGAATTTGTCGTTTAGTCGATAACAATAAAAATAACATTTTTATGAACTGATATACTTCCACGGTTGCTTATCCACACCTTTTGTTTTTAGCTTGCAACTCGTATGACAAATCCAGACGAGACGCTCATCGTTGTAACTGCGGATCATGGTCACATGTTTACTGCAGGGGGGTATGCTGTTCGCGGCAATCCTATAACTGGTATGTTTATATAAATTATATTAAATTTTAACTATCTGCCCTAATACTTCATCAATAATTATCCAGATGTTGAAAATTGTCCAAAATGCATTAATTTTAAAATAAAAAAGTAAATTACCATAGGCTAATATCGAAAATGGCAGCGAAACTAATATTTTGTAGATTATCAAATTCTACTCTGAAGTTTGAGTGACTGTTATCTTAATTATAAATAATTAAATATATGAATATAACTTCTATAGTTCAGGCTAAACCGCACAGTATCTCACCATATGTTAAAGTTTTGTTCTTTTGTGTAATTTTGAGTTCTTTATTTGAGATTTATGGCAAGTTTTTTCCACCTTCACAGGACTTGCTGATGATCACGAGAAACCCTTAAAAGCGTTGGACGATGTGGCTTACACAAGCATTGTATACGGGACTGGAAAGGATTGGTTGGGAAATAGGGGAAATAAAAGACTCAATAGAAGTGCTTCTGAGTCATGTAATTATTACTTATCACTATGTATTTCGGTATTTTTCTCACTCAAGCTCGCTCACTTTTAATTTCAATGCTCATATTTTTAACAATAGTGCGAAACGGTTTCTGCGTTGTTTTTGAATGCACCGTCGAGTACCATGTTAAGCAGTGTTTCCTAATCGAAAAAATAGATATTCGGCTAAACTCACGAATTTGAGTTTGCGAAGTTTCCGTCATAATTCAAAGTTCCTCCGGGAGAGTCTTTTTATATAAATTCATGCACATTTTTTAATTCAATTTTAACAACTTTTTTGTTTTTTTTTCAGTTCAAATGGATTTTGAGTTTCCTTCTGCAATCCCACTCAAGTTCGAAACTCATAGTTCGACCGACGTTGCAGTGATGGCTCGGGGACCCATGTCACATCTACTCAGTGGAATTTATGAGCAAAATTTCATAGGATATCTTATGATGTACGCTTCTTGCGTAGGTAAGTAAATGTTGTGATTTTTGAAATTAATAATGACACAACATGAAATATTACAAATATTAATGAACTTGATTGTTTATTTTATAATTAAGTTACAAAGATATATTTTTCAAATACGTCAGAATATTTATATTAACATTAATACCTAAATAGTTGAATGGATCCTACATGAATTCCTGGTCTGGTCCAGCTACTGCTACAACAACGTTTTTCGAACAGTGAATGACACTCGTTATGATTCTTGCGTGATCGTAGAGTCATCACCAAATGAAATTCATGTCTTACATATCGTAACAGTTTAACATTGCCATATACAAATAATATTATCATCAAACTGAAGTAGCAAATGAAAATGTTTTTTGATTTTGAAGGTCCTGATAAAAGGCATTGCCAATCGCAAAGAAGATTTCGTACATGGGATTGTTCAAAATATGCTAAAGGTGAGAGAGAGTATGTTGAACTGAAAAAAATAGTCTATCAGCATTCATTGCAATTTCCAAAGCTCAGTCTGTTTGTGATCAATTATACTTTAATCCTCTTTACCAAGCTAACGTGTTAATTAAGTCCAAAATGGAATGCATCGATTTCCTTTTCAATGTGTTAATATTTGATTATAAGACAAACCAACCCTCTGTTTATAAATATTTTGAAGGTTCATTATTTCAAAAATCATCCTACAATGTGCGGTTTTCCAGTATTTCAAGGCAGAACAAAAATATGCCTTGGTGGTGCAGGGAAGTAAATGAAGCTGAATGGACAGTCGTGAAACCTCTTTCTGCTCCCAAAACTACATTTTCTCCTGCAACACGGCAATCGTATGAGCAGGACAATTCCAGGCCAGGCCAAGCAAATTTGACCACAAAATCAAATCTCCACCAGCGGTCTGAATGGGAATCACAAATGTGGAATCGGGCGCAAACAACTGAGGCTCCCAGGGCAAAAACCCCTACTCCTTCCGGGAAATTCAATCCTGAAGAAACAGCTTCAAAATTTCATAAGAGAAAAAATATTCAAATTGGTATTTTGAACAAGAGAACGCGTACGAACGTAAGAAGGAGAATGACAACTGCCACACCTCGCCGTATTTTTCGACGAGAACTAACAACAGAATGCGAGAATGACACAATTTCTATCTCGAACGGGGAAAACAATAGGCCTAGCTCTACTCTGCCAACACCGAACTCACTGAGATCAGGTCGAGGCAATTTTTTAGACCGTTTAGCAATGGTTATTAGGTCACAACTAGAATATAGGACGATAACGTCCAGTAGTAGTGGAATGACTAAATTGGATTTGTCGTTGATGCTTGATGGTGAAACCAACAGTGAAAAACATGAAGGAATCTAGAAAATACCTAAAAACAGCACTTTTCAGCACAAACAAAACAAGAGCAACAATTGTTTGTATGAAATGGAGTTCTACCGGCTCATCGGTTCCCGTACATTTGAACACACGACAATTGCACCTGGGTACTATTGCACCTATGAATGTTTTTTGTTCTGCGTATATTTGAACCCATACTAACCCTAACCCATGGGTTTTAGCAATTGCATATAGATTGAACCCGCGGAAATACACATGGGTTCAAGTGTACGTGGGTTCAAATGTACGATCACCGGGCTCATCACTTTGGGACCAAATTCAACCGAACACTCATTCATTTACAAAGAGCCTAACAACGAGAGACAAGTCAGCAGACCTGTAAAATTCGCGTCTGCAACCGACAACACTGCAGCTCTTGTGCTTCTTGCTCTGTTCGCAGTTGCTTTCTTACTTTTGACGCTTGGTCTTCTTTATCAAATCAGAAAACGTGATGCAATGATAAAAGAAGACTATTTTTCAAGTTTGCACCTCTTATACCCAAGCACCTACAAGATTGAAGTAAATTACATCAAAACTATCCCAATAAGTTTTATTCTATTATATTTATTCTTATCTTTTTTATTTATTCTTTCTATTTATACTTTTATTCCAATTTTCCCTATTGCAGTTTTTTTACGAGTCCGGGAACTAGCCAAGTGACTTCCGTAGTATTTGTACCTGAAATTATGACCTCACCCTAATCTGGTACACATACTACGTTTCGGTGTCCGCCATCTTGGTACACATGCTTCGAGAGTACTGTTGCAGGCTGAAATTCTACTTTGGTGAATTAACCCATTAATTTTAGTTATTCTGGTCCCGATAAGCATGTTTAGACTTGCTCTCGTTTATTTATTCGTTTGTTTATATTAAGAGTTCCTGGCCGAGAGAAAATGTGACGTTTTTGGCAATCATGGTGCAATACTCTCTTATATCAGCTGATTTGTATTCATGCGCTTGTTATTTATATTGTGCCCCACTTGATGTCCTATTTGTTATTGTGGAAGACTGTGCAATGAGGCTTGGTCACATGAATTTCTTTGTTAGATGCTGCGATTACTTTGCGGCATTCATTTGCAAATTTAAGGGTTTTTAATTCTGTTAATTTAGGTTTGCTTCAGATATTTAGGGAAGTTTTCGGATTGTTTGTTTACATGCCGCATCACACGCACAGCGGATATTTGATTCACTGATTTGTTTTTGAAAAAATTGCACGCAACCTGTTTACTAAGTGAAACGCCTGAATAATGACCGCCGTCAATATTCATGTTTATTTGTTTGTGACTTGTTTTCTTTCTTCTTTGGTAAGTGAATGCGTTTAATACGTTTTAAACTTATTTTATTAGGTTTTGTTCACTTTCCAGATTTTTCGCCTTAATCTTTTGTGTATATATGTTTATTTTGTTTTTGCGAATGAATCGAAATAAAATCGTATCTTATTTTAAGTTTGTAGTTTAGGGTTATTTAAGTTGTAATTGAGTTCTATATAGAGGCTAATTATGGTATTTTCTTGTTTTTGTGTCTCGTAGCTAAATTTAGGTGCTGATTGTGGAATTTTACTGGACTGTGACGTGTATATACTGTGCATATACTTTCATTACAAGTTCTTTCATACAAGTTGGATGTGTTTGTGTGTGTGTTACTACTGTGTCGAGAGTTAGCTACGGAAGTAGATTGACAAGACAGCCCAATAAGCAGAGATATGACTTGTATAACCTCTTAATTCTACATTAAATTACAATATATGTCTCGACTATTGTCTCGAAAGTTTAAAGTCAAGTGAAGATGTCAACTGTTTCTAGATCAACTACTAAGTCGTGTATGTCTGAACGGGCAAAGGCAGAGAAGAGACTGCGACTTGCAAATTTAAGAAGGCAACAAATCCTAAAGCAAGCTGAGCTTAAACGTAAACAACTGGAGCTGGATTCCGAAGCTGAGCTGAAACGTAAGCAAATTGAACTCGATTCTCAGACTTTAGCAGCCGGATGCTGAAGAAACTCAAATTGAGTATGATATGCTGTCAAATGCTAGCCATTCAAGACGAGGTTCAGTTATTGAGGGGCAACAATTTATGGATTTGAGGTTCAATCTAGTTCTGAGAAAGTCGTCAAGTCGACACCAATTACTGATCATTTGAAGTTCCTAAATCAAGATGATGTGGCTGATACGTCACTTCTACCAAACCATCAAATGTGTTGGAATTTGACCCAGAACAAGCAAATAAGATCTTAGGACAAATTTTTACTCTTATGGTAAATGATGACAAAGGATGTATGTTAGGTCCAAACGTTCCATTTATATCATTGAAAAAAGCAAGCTCTGTCGCCTGCAAAGAATTTGGTGAGTGATATTATGCATGCTGATAGATTAGATGCAAGTACAAATCAGCATTTTATTCCTGCCTGCTACTGCAACTACTAGAAAGCATGTGTTAAATAAATGTGCGGCCCACAGTTTCACGAAAACACCTTCTTACATTACATTATTCACGCTGCATGTCGTTCAACGAATTTTGGAGGCATTATGGCCAACAAACGTTTTTCTTTACTTGCAATTAAAACAATTCAAATATTTTTGAATGTCCTCGTACGCATAGTGCATCTGCTTTTCTATGCAGTATATAAAGGTGTTGAGAGAGCATGAACACCTTAGACCCAAATCACCCCATCTTGCTGGAACCATTGATCATTTCAAATAATCGCTCAACGTCAAGCAAATAATGCAATGGCTACCTTACTGCGCACTTTACTGAGTGCAAAGAGATCTGTAACATATTCTTGGGAGATGTTACTCTCAGGTAATCAATATCTTGCTATTGACATGCCAAGAGAGCAGAAAACTTAGTACAGTGTTTCCCAACCCGAGTCCGCGGTCTCAAATGAGTCCACCAAGCGTTTGAATGAGTCCACATCGAGCCAGAAATTCACTGCGGACCGCAAACGTTTTTGTGAAACTTAACTATCAGCCAAGTTACGATTTACGTTAGAATTTACATAAAACATAAAAAGCAAGTTTATCCACATAACATTAATCGAGTCATATATTCGAATATTCAACCATTAGAATAGCAATTTACTATTCCAAAATGGGGTAACAGGTGACGCGACAGGTTGCGCATCACTTGATCAAACGATTGGATTTCACAACTCACTTGCAGATTTCCGACGAAAACACACGAGTCTGCACACGCATCGATGGATACCTGCGTGGTGTTTCTCGCGAGTTCGAACAACGAGGAATATTTTTTTTTTTTTGGTAGGTGTCAATGGTGGCAACCCAAATTTTCTAAATTGAAAAGCGGCAATACAAAATACCAAAAATAAAACGAAGAACACTAAAAGTTTTGTTTTATGATGGTCAGCGACCGATTGAAAACGCTTTTTTAGACATTTCAAATCGCAAAATTTTGGTTGCTACCGTAGTATAGGTACCAGGACATTTTCTCTTAAGATTCTTTGCTTTACTGCCTCCACATTGGTACGTATAGTACTGCCGTAGGTGTTGTACGAACAGCTCAGACTTGTCGAATTCACAAAAATACGAATCAAAACAAAATATATTCGGGCACTTCACCACGCATTTTTGTGTCCTCTGATTGTCATGATATTTTCTCATTAGTATTGTTTTTATTTCGTCGACACAACCGCAGATTAAAATGATCACAATTAAATTGATAATAAAACGAGGCAATGAATATGTATTTTTGATTTACTAATATACTTTAAATATATTTTTAATAAGTACTAAATTAGGTTGTACTTTCTGGAAATTTATAGCAGATAGTAGGATTTTTCTAACGGCGATAACAAATTCGCAAGATCGCAAAAAATATCTATCAAAACTAAATATAATCGGGCAATATATTTTCCCATTATTATGTTCGCAGATTGCCGTGGCATTTAAAGAAGACGTAACAGCGAGTGACCGCGAACACAGTTAAATTAAAATAGAAAGACGTTTTAAATTCTAGTCGTCGTCATGGATTGAATATTGTGCGACAAAAAAGCCATTGTTGAAATTCGTTAAAATTCTTTTGTGTTCTGTTTTATTGCTTCTTCACACAGAGTACAGATGAAATAAACGCACCTTGCGTCCGCAAAGGTTTTCGCCGGTGAGAAAATAGTCCGCGACAAAAAAAGGTTGGGAAACGCTGACTTGGTAGGTAGATAAGTCTGTCTTTAAAAAAGTCGTTGGGAACATATTCCTCAGGTATAATCATACACAAGCTTAAGTTTGGGCACATACTAATCTAATCTATTCTAATATTCTATTCTCAATCAATAAATTTGCTTCATTGTCGTTGAAGTAATTGGGAATTTATGGTTTCCGCTCTTTGGTGCCACGTATTACAGCAAAAATAACATAATAATCATAGGGGAATGCCAAGATGTGAAACACTAAATTTAATATCCATCTACGAGAAATAAGACCAAGATACCGGTTTAACCGGTCAATAATACCACAAATAAGTTAGCAGAAATTTCAATACTCCTATTTTATAATGCATTATCAACTGCAGCGAAAAAGTAATAAAACAGGAAAATATTAGACCGAAACTGCAGCTGCACAAAATACCGTCCCTCTGTTCAACTAAAACATGAAATTACGTAACCGCGAGATAAACTTGTGCAATCGTACAAAACACCACAACGATACGATAAGAAAATTTGAAGAATTTACAGAACATTATCGTTGGATGAAGGCAAAGTATCCAGTAGCGCTGATTCTGCTTTGCAACTTTCCATTGATATCAGGATTCAGAAATCGAATGAAACCTCAAATTGTCACGAGAAGTAACAGCTCACTTGTGAGCATCTTAATATTACATTGATGCAATTCACCTAACTAGAATGAGCAGAAACAGTATGATAGGAAATAATCACCAACTAATTTCCGGACCGAGTGAAATCTTAATTCCATTTTGTTTACGTCTGTGTTTACATCTGATCGTGGACATGATCGATTTGCTTTGTATATAAATAGTAATAAAACAGCAGAGTGAGAGTGCATGAGTGCAGCATATTTATGAGATATAATTTTTATTATTGAAGATACGGGTGGGCAAACGCGTGCCTATATCCATGTTCTACTCGCTGTTTATTAAGATTCTAGATATAAATAGTATCTAAATTCAAACTGGATAAAATCCCACTGAGAGTAAAACGGCATGTCCGATGATGTCGCTTTACTCTAAAATATTGAAGGAAAACCGTAAAAGGGATGAAGAGAATAGGAACACACTATAGATAGATCGAAATGTATGACTCTGGAATTCAATGATGTAGAAGTGATCAGAAAAGAAGATATTTGGGTATGTTTTAGAATACTTGATATTGTGTTTGACACAGTGGATGGATTTGCCATAACATCCAGATACACATTTGCTTTAACGTCTCAAACTAGAACAACAGCCATTAATGTAGATAATAAACTATGGGAGTTGAAGAAAGTAGGTGCTGAAACTCTTCCTCTTCATGGGTTTTATGACTCTGAAAATGTTGCAGTATTTGTGCACAATGTACCATGTCAAACAAAATAAAGAAGTTAAAGAACATTTTGAAGAACATCATGGATCCGTAGAAGAACTACTTATATTGAAAGACAGATTTAATATGAAGAATGGTATAAGGAGATTTTTTATAAAAAAAGATGATCTGAAGAAAAAACCAATCAAAAGCTGCGTGAAAATAAAAGGTCATTCACTCTTTGTTAAATATTGGGGTCAGACTCCAACTTGTCGAATATGTGGTGGTATAACTGAACACATAAAAACGAATGCGAAAACTTTATTCCAAAACTCGACAGATATAAAAACACGGGACAAAGACCATCAAATCCAGGCGGAATTAAATTGATAAAACGAAAAATGAACATGGAAACGGAACAGAAAAAGTTACTTAACAAACACGAAAAGAGAGCCAAACCACACCGGCCAATGAAATAAGTGAAGATCATATACCGGAAATTCAAACAAGACCAAACTTACAACAAGAATTGTTTGGTAATCTTTCAGATATTAGTGACGAAAATAATGAGATGATTGATTTGAATATTGAAGATCAGATAAACTCCAAAACAACGACGCAATCGAGTACATCTGAAAATACACTCTTATACATGGGAACAAACACACAACAACAAGATAACGAGAATATCGGTCAGAGACCGAAGACTTATCGATCGAAAGTTAGGGGATTCCCGAAAACAGCGCTCTTATAGTGACACCTTGTGTCCCTTCACTAATTAATTAATAACTCGCTGATTATACGAGTTCGCCCAAAACCAATAGGCTTCTGGTCCGAGATAAGATGAATGCACATGCAAAATCTGGAGCAGATTGAATCGCTTTCCTGAGATATCCCGTGCATCTAACAGACAAAGAGACAGACAGACAAATACCTATCAACATACTTACCGATTAAAATCGATAAGTAATGACTTAGCACGAGCGATATCGACGGAGCCAAGCAGGCGCACCAATCTCATTGAACTGTTTTAATGTCATTCAATGGATGAATGCTTGATATACAGTTTTGCTATTTGCCTCATTTTTTTAGTGAACCGGGAGTCATCAGAAAAATTGAAAGGGGGCCGTTATGCACAATTTTTCTAAAAGTTTGAGAACCACTGGACTAACACCTCTACAAATGTAAGATCGCCATCCCGGAAAAAGGAAATAACTAAAAAGAAAAAACCATGACGTTAAAGAGGCCAATGAATACCTGAACAACATGAGTGAATAAAGTTTTTGTCAAATCTTCATTTGCCCATATAATTCATATTAAAAAGAAAGAATAAAACCCTAAATCTTACAAATGATACTTTATTTAACAATTCCCAAGTTACATTTAAATGGACTTAGAGACAGTATGTGTCACGATAAGTGATCATGTTAGGTCAAAGGTCACTGAAGATGACCTTCACGCTAAGGATGTTCTCTGTAGACATGCCGTGTTAGACCTTATTCATCAAAAACCCATCCTACGCGCAAAAAGAAAAGTGATGTAAAAATTTTAGATAGATAGAATATTTTTTACATCTTTTTCAATATTTTTATCAAGATAAACATGGTCAAGATTTTTGATAATCGTTCATTAAAAGTTCAATGAGCGCGGTGTTTCCGATGACGTCATTCTCACTAGACCATGAGATTTTGCCAACGCGCCGTGCTCTGTGGGATATGTGCTGCAAATGCGGCGCTAATGTCGCTTTGGGTCCGGTACTGGAAGCATTCAACATTGACAATCTATAACCCATACCATTTCTATCACGTTTGTTTACTGGTTTTACGCATTTATACCTGTACAGCTAGCAATCATTTACTGAAGGCATGCTGACGTGTTATTTAAACTACCGGTACCGTACCAAGGCTGCAAGAGGTGAAAACTAAATTATTTAGTCTAAATAGGCTACTGAAATAGGCCTACGAACAAAAATGTTGGCCATCCCGCCAATAGGAAGGATAAGTTGTAGGGTACCGGTATACAAAAAAGATGAATATCTCCAACCTATAATGGTACAATACCGGTCTCCTAACTAGGTTAAAAAACATGACTGAATACGAGAGGGAGATTTATTTTGTCAACCAGAATACAAGCATTGAATCAATAAAAATTATATACAAAACACACAGTTATTCGGTATAGACTGGGGGAGCGATACGACCATCACAGTCAGCTCCCCCCTGCCCCACATGTTTGCTATCAAGATTAACAGTTAATTGAGATGTTTGAACAATTTAACAAAAACTCCTTGGAGGAAGGGTTGACTAAGTTACAGAATATTTTTGGATTCGGTTAAAAATGTAGTCCATTATTAAACCACTGCTTTATTTTTGTAGATTTTCACTTAGTGGATACTTAGCAAGTACGACAGTTAATTTATAAAAAAAATTGTAAATTAATAACAAATCAGTAGAAGTCAGCTCGGGTATTCGAACATGTGATGATTGAAGTGAGAAAAAAATTTGAAGTCACATTTAGGATACATTAAACAATTAGGATTACATTAAACAACAATGGGAAAGGTACATTGGAATCAGTCAAGCTTCAAATGCTAATGGCATTTATGAAAAGAATATGCGAAATGAAGACTGAAGTTTCCATCCGGGACATTGGAAGACGCTAAAACCTCATAGTCTAGACTTGATAGTGTGGAAAGCCTTCTCACAATGCAGTAATAATGGGACATATATTTATAATATCAATATACAGGCTTCAAATTGAACTATATGTTTGAATAAAATATCTATCTTTGCTAATAAATGCTGAAAACCATTTATTTCACTCTGCTGAGTGATTAGGGCCAGAAATTTGCTGTAGGGACCATCACCAGGGCTGGATTTACCAATAGGCTAGGCAGGATGAAACCTAGAGCCTCGAAATTCGGTTTCGAAGTTTGTAATTCTTTTGAAAACTTGACAAGTTTAAACCCTACAAAAAGTATATATATATATCAAGCTTTTCAGAGTAGAAAATTCTGTACCTAACTGGTTTCAACCACATTGTAAACAGTCATTATTGCGTCGTTTGCATCATAATAAGGGAAATTATTATTATGCGCATTCTGCTGGAAGTTTCTATGTTAAAGTATGGCTTTAGCGGTTGTTTGATCAAAGAAATTGAAAGCAAAACTGCCTCAAGTAAATTTTTATTCTTTTAATTAAAAATTTACACCAATGAATGGGGAGAATGAAAAGTTTAATGCTTTCATATTTTTAAATTTTAAGCAATTAAATGTGGTGTTGTTTAGAGGGAAATTCTGAGCTCAAAAATATGAAGGGGCCTCTCATGGTCTAAATCCAGCCCTGAACATCACCAATTTGGGATAGGTACATGGTGTCAACATATGAACCGAGTTAGGCCATTGGATTTTGAAAGGTGTACCAGAAATGTACATAGTTACATGGAATTCATGAAATATATAACATCCAATTAAAACCAAAATAGGTCTTTCGTTGAACGCCAGTTGTGGTCCCGGTACCGGTATACCAGTATTCTGTTATCACAAGCAGTTGGAGCGCATATCCCACAGAGCACGGCGCGTTGGCAGAATCTCATGGTCTAGTGAGAATGACGTCATCGGAAACTCCGCGCTCATTAAAATTTCAATGAACGATTATCAAAAATCTTGACCATGTTTATCATAATAAAAATATCAAAAAAGATGTAAAAAATATTCTATCCTCAAAACTGCTCACGTATACAATGAAAGATATCTAAAAAATTACATAAAATTCAAATTTCTGCTCTGGTGATCACATTCCCCATAAGAGCTAATGTTAAATATTTTTTTTTACATCACTTTTCTTTTTGCGCGTAGGATGGGTTTTTAATGAATAAGGTCTATTCTGTGTTTGTGTTAGGCTGTGTTGGTTGTATGTTAATCTGACTGTTTCTGTTGACTGAGGAGTCATCCGTAATAAATGCTTGATGAATAATATATAAAGCCTCTTATATATGCCTTATGTGTTTGGCTAGACAACACATGACATGGTGTCAGAAGTGAAAAGTTCTCAGAACGCCGAGAAAATCTAACGTTGCATAGCGTCAGATTCGTCAGGACATTTTTACATTCACGTTTATTGTGCTTCGCCAACACAAGATTGTGTTATTGAAGATTGTAAAAAGCTTCCCTGATAAATAACTGTTCAACATGGATCATTTCAATGCACCTGGTACCGTAATCTTGATATTCACCAAGGTAATTTGGCTGAAACTGGCGTCGATTTAAACAGAGTTTTGACGTATATTTGATTGCTGTAGAGAAGAATAACAAACCTGATGCTGCCAAAGTTGCCATGTTATTAAATTTTGCTGGTGAAGATGCTTTAGAACTATATGAAAATTTTACCTATGCTGAAGATGATGATAAACAGTTGAACAATTTGAAAACTATTTTAATCCACAAAAAAGTATATTGTTTAAAAGATTTAAATTCTGGGAATACAAGCAAAAAAAGACTGAAACTGTTGATGAATATGCAACAAGATTGAGAACACAAGTCAAACAATGCCAATTTGTAGCACCACAGAATATGGTGAGAGATAAATTTGTGCTTGGTTTAAGTGACAATTCTGTCAAAGAAAGATTGTTGAGAGAAAAAGATCCAACAATCACGAAAGCTCTTGAAATAGCACGCACAGTAGAAACTTCAAAAGCGCAAATCGATGCAATGAAAAATACTTCGAATGCATGCGATACAAATATGTTCAAGAAAGAAGAAAATTCAGAGATTAACAATCTGCAGAAATCAAGAAATATAAAAAAGCAGACACAGAAGTCAAGATCTTATGGAAAAAGAACATGTCAGTACTGTGGAAGATTTCATGCTCCAAGATCATGTTCAGCATTTGGTAAAAGATGCAACTATTGCAAGAAAATAGGACATTTTGAATCTGTATGCAGACTCAAGTCAAGGAGGCCTGGAGGAAATAAAGATGTTTGTACCTTACAAAGACATGCAAAGACTAACAATGCTGATAATAGTGAAGACAGAACACCAACATTGTACTGCCTGAATGATGTAAATTCATTAAATGATAAAGATAGTTGGCATGTTGATGTCAAAATTCTAGACAAATCAGTCAATTTCAAAATTGACACTGGTGCTGATTGCAATGTTATATCTGAGAGAATTTTTGATCAGTTGAAAGTCAAAAATTTGAAAATACATCCTACAAGCATAATATTGAAAATGTTTGATGGCAGAAAAATCAAACCTAAATGTAAAATATGTGTACCTTGTGAACACAAAGGCTTCCCAAAACATATTGATATAATGATAGTCAAACAGGATGTACCATCAGTACTTGGTTTGAATGCATGTATAAGTTTGAATCTTATAAAGAGAATTGATAATTTACAAAATTGTAATAATGTTGAAGATGCATTCTCTAATATTTTTGATGGCCTGGGAGTCATTGACAATTTTGTTCATAAAATTCAGCTTAAAACTGATGTAAAAGCCATAATAAATCCACCTCGTAGAGTACCTGTTGCTCTAAGAGAGTTGCTCAAAGCTGAATTGAATCGTTTGGAAGATTTGAATGTTATTGAAAAAATTACTGAACCTACAGAATGGGTCAATAGTCTAGTAATTGTAAAAAAGAAGAATAATGCTTTACGAATTTGCCTTGATCCTTTGCATTTGAATCGTGCTATAAAACGGGAACATTTTCCAATGCAAACCATTGAAGATATTATGACTAGAATGTCTAATGCCAAATATCTTTCTGTACTTGATGCTAATCATGGTTTCTGGCAAATTAAGTTAGATGATGACAGTGCAAAATTATGCACATTTAACACAATTTTTGGGAGATATTTTTTCAAACGACTACCCATGGGTATTTCTAGTACTAGTGAAGTTTTTCAGAGAATTATGACCCAAATATTTGAAAATATTGAAGGTGTTGAAGTAATTATTGATGATATACTAGTGTGGGGCAGTACACTAGAGGAACATGACCAACGGTTGTCTATTGTTCTTGAAAAGATCAGACAAAGCAATTTGAAATTGAATCGTGATAAATGTAAATTTCGTTTGGCTAGACAACACATGACAGTATGAAACGCAGAGATGTTTTTCTTAAACTATCTATGAAAAAGTCTGTTGTAATACTTCGCCAAGAAACACATTGTACTGCAGATGCTGAACTAAAATGGAGTAGAGAATTAAAATAAGGTAACAGCATATAGAACAACGGTGATTAAAATTCAAAAAGTGTTGCTATATTGCTAAAGTTAAAGCTAGCAAGTTTTTCATTTTATAATATCTTATTTGATAAAGATGGAAGAGTTCTCACTTCAGATATAAAGAGGCTATTCATGGAGAAAAGATTCATTTAGTGAACATATATGCTCATTGTCGGACAAACATTATCATACAAGAATGTTTTTATAATAGCATCTATAGTTTCCTATACTCTCATCAAACCGTGATTTTAGGCGGTGATATGAACTGTGTTCATGATATAGACAAAGATCGAACAACAGGCAACAAAAGAGCTGAAAAAAGAATATGTGTCCGATGCTCCAAATGAGCTTATAAATACTTTCGATTTAGTTGATTCTGTGAAATTTTTACCTAATGGTAGCTCATTTTACACGTGGAGAAATACTACTGTGCTAGTAAGACTAGATCGTCTTTACTGTTTCCATAGATTGTGCAATATAACTAATCTCTGTTGTTTTCCTACATATTACTCTGATCATGTCATCTATCATGATTCTATTAGCCTTGGATGTCTATGTCTGATAACTATGTGTTTGCACAATAAAAGCGTTTGTTTTGTATTGCACAGTTTACCTATTTTTGGCACTATTGTGGCCCGCGGAGCTGACAACCTTGGACCACCCTGACGTATGGCATTGTCTTGTAAACGATATTTCATGCAATATATATATGCAAATCACTTCGATATAATCGGGACAGTTTTGTGAAGTTAGCCTCTCTATCTTGGTAATTAATTTACGCGTTTCAAATGTATAAACGTGATCGCTTGCGTCTTCCTTACATCAATGTCTCCATTTTAATCGATATATCCGGACCTCGACATTATGATTCTACTGACTATGTCGCTGATTTCTAATATTTTTTTGAGGAAGAAGCAAATATACCAGGTATTATGAAACAGGAATTTCAAATAAAAGAACAGTCACTACATTCATTTCAACAATGTTATATTTTCCAAATATATTTGATGAGCACACAAACAAGTTGTTGCAAAAGACAATACAAATATTTTTATATTTACTGCAGGAATGATAACTTCGACTTGAACTTATTGACTTGCAAAAAAAATGAAAAAACCAAGTTGATTACAAGTTAATTAAAACAAATTTCATGCTATGGGGCCCGTTGAGTTTACTACATATTTTCGCTAACATTACATTAGGTAAAACTAAAAATACGGAACAATATAGAATATTATGTGGTTAAAGGATCTGAAATAATTTTGTAGATGAATATATGCAAATCAAATTATTCAACAGATTGGCTGTTTTAAACACGAGAAGAGAAAATTCATTCTGTATTGTACGTTTGTTTAAAGTCTGGCCAAGATAGGAGGATGCACATCATGCTTCGTCGTATACGTATGCAATCGTTAGATTTAATTGGTATTAATTATAAAGTTCAATTGTGGCACCAGTTAAGTTACTTTCATGTTTGTTTGCTAACTAAAACGTACAAATTTTCAGAAAGAATTGTGCACTACATGCATTTTTACAAGATTTAAATTGGGCATAAAAGCGATTATTAATATTACAACTCGAGCGCGCTCAATCAGTCTAATAAACTTTTTATATATCAACTACGGTTCAGTGTATTCCGGAAGCAACATGGCATACTTGAAGCATATCATTGTATAATAAAATTAATTTACAATGTATAGTACTTGGTTCACCTCGAAAATAAGAAAATAAAAGCAATCCTCACCAAACTAGGCCACGCAATTTTGTTTGCAAAACAACTAAATAAACCTAGTTACTGGTCATTCATTACAATCGTATCCAAACCAGAAAATCTGTTAGTTTATGAAACCTTGACAGTGTGAGATCAACTGCTATATCTCGTTGATATTAAAGAATAAAAACTCCAAATGCAACGACGCAAGAAAACAAATTTCAGAATGATAGAACCGATATTAGAACATTGAATAATAGCGTCATAACGAAATTGAATTGAACGCAATTTGAGTCCACTATTAAAATAGTAATAATAACAAGAGAGCTATGCTCAAATATATGGACACGTAGCGCCACCCAGTGACAATAATTTTGATGACGTCTTAGCGAAAAAAAAAGTAATAGCCTTCTGGAGAAAAATTTTATCTTTAACCACTGAAAATATCAAAGCAATTGGTCCAGTATTCGAAGGGAAAAGCGATTTTTTAAAAATGGAGACGGCGACAAATAACAATAACAACAAAATTTTGAAACGATCGTTATGGCCACTAAACGTGTCCAAAAAACATTTTCTTATAGAACAATCCTGACTAAATTGCAATTCAAATAACACAAACTGTATTTTTCATAAGCTATTCTCTCATATTTGAATAGCTAATAAATTAGATAATATTTCTTCGTGGGATAATATTTCCGAGGCAGGAGCATCCACATTCACATTTAATTTTTTTTAACTTTGAGACCTTATACGTCTTCGTAAATACTTTCCCCTGGATCTGAATTGACTCCACAATTTTCGTAGAAATTTATATTTTCATAAGTTTTTTTAGTGTTTACATCTTTTTTACTTACCGGCATTGGTTCTTCGTAACACGTAGTTTCGTAGAAGTTGTAGCTGTATGACGATTCGGGTTGAATTTGTTGAGAACCTGATGATGCTGCGTTATTTGATATAAATGTGATTTGATACGGACTGATAATGGAAGAAGCTTTAGATCGCTGTTCCGAAGCTGATTTTGGTTTTTCAGTGCTCCTTTTCCTTTAAGTTAAATAATACAAAAAGCATTGGAAATTTATTCAGAAATTGAAATAGATATTAAAAAATACATGAATCCATACTTTTTTATTATCCAAAGAATAATCAACACTACAGCAACTAAAATTCCGATGCAAGTGACAGTAATGGCAATCGTTGCGTTGGTTGCTGAAATATTATATAATTATGATTATGAAAATAAAAATAAAATATGCGAAATTACAGTTCTACTGAAAACATTTCGTATTTACATTGTTCTATCGTTGCCGTTTCTGTTATGAAGTAAGATACATTGCTGAATTTCAACAACACCGCGTTGTCGTCTCTTTGAAAAACAGATATTGTGAAGTAACTGAAATAGAATACACTAGCTTGTGACATAATTCACATACATAAGAATTTGTGCAAAAAGATTGGATTGAAACAATTATTTTGAATCGAGAGTTTTTTATATGTTTTTAGTGGCGGTTTTATTGGTTTCGTTTGCATTAAAATTGAATGGATTAAAACAAGAAAATAGATGTGGGTGTCAATATATCCTTCAAAACGCAACCGGTATCGATGAGTTGCGTACACGCCCCTTCAAACTGTAGGCGTAGCACACAACTCGTGCCAAAACCACCCACCACCCACTGGTGTTTTATATTCCATCACGATTCCTTGGCGGTTTTAATAATAAGCGATCTCAGCTCAATTATCAGTGCTGGTGACGGCGTGATTTTCCAAAAGCTATGATCGGTACCGTAACGAAGTATTTATGAATTTCTGACAGAAAGAGGATTTGGAAATTCAACACAATGAAAAGTAAAAAGTCTATGCAGGGGTGTGTGCAAATGTTGAGATAAAAACAATGTTGGATTGGTAGATCTTATGAAAAGGCATTCATACGCAATTCAATTAGTGTTTACATTTTTTCCCGGTATAGTGCGCTAAAATTTGATTGCCCTATGGCCAAGAAGACTATACGAAGTAGGCTAATGTTGAATAGACCCACGCCAGTTAGATCATTCGATAAAGCATTCAATACTGCAGGTATTGATGACTTGCCCGTACCCGCCCTATCCAGCATAATGCTTCCACAGACATGCTTGGCGGAGGAAGCCGTGAACCATAAGATGTTACGTGAACCTGCGTCGGAGAGAAGTCCAGAAATCTTCTTGCGCATTGTCACATCCCTCATGGGATTCGAACCGACGTAGGTCTCCCTTATACCCCGAATAAACATTTGACTTTGGTGTAGGAACTAATTTGAATATAGAGCAATGGCATGAGAGTGCAATGAAACATGAAACGGGAAACATAATATGATAAAACACTTCACAGGATATCTTGGTTTTCAAAATAGTACTTTCAGCTTGTTTCAGAACTTGTGTTTGATGCAAGAATCAGAACCTGTCAGCAAAAGATTTAAAACAAATTGCCTATTGTATTCACCTATATTCTGCGCCATCTGCTAGTTTTAAATTATTTCCTTTTATTTCAATTTTGGTGATTGTTTTATTCTTCGTTTGAATCGAATTCATATCATCATTAACAATACAAGAAGATGCAGTTCCATCTCCTAGTTTCTTTGAAATTGCATGATTTTGTACATCTGAAATATCTGACCTTAAAAGAAATACAAGTTAGTGAAATATTAAACAAAATATTGCCGTTCGTATAACCTTTTACGCATCTGATAGTAAGTAAGATTTTTGTAAAACATACTTTTATTCACTTAGGTTTAGTTATATTAAACAATTGTGTGTAACTGTAGATATAATTTTCTGTTTCTATTATAATTTTTGATCACATCATTCATTCAATATAATTTCCGTGATCACATAGGTATGTTTCTAATACCTTGCCATTGCCAATGCTATGTAAGCTTCATTTTTCTTTACATTTATTATCGCTAGTTTGACCAGATCATCTAGTGTTGTTATCAATTGATTCGAAGTGTCGTCATGTTTGTAGACAAGAATCAGGAACAAACAACTGTTAATTAAACAGTGAAATAAACAATGTTTGACAAAGAGAAAAATATTCTCACCGTTCTTGCGTTTGGTATTACTGTTATGATAATAGATCCTTGGGTTATAAAAAAACGTTAGATAAACCCATTAATTAGGTGATATATACGAGTTGTGAATATTATGTTAATTCGAATATTTTGATAAGATTACAATACACCCATGTTCACCTTATTGGTCCATTATGTTCTTCTGGAAATGGTATTTTGATTCCGACATCTGCGCCGTTGTTTGATTTTACGACCGTGGGTGCAAAAGCAACATCGCGATCTGATAATTGAAGTCTATAATTCATAAGCGATATCTTCAATTTTTATTACTTGTATTAATTTTATTATAACACGCAGCTTGGGATATTATAATAGTATTTTGCCTAAAAGTAATTTAACTGGTGATTTTCGGTAACTAACAAAAATGATTCACCACAATTTTTAGTTATTTCAAGCAACAAATGATGTTTCATTTACTGTGATATATTCCCCAATATACGTCTTATAATTATTTTTTTCACGCTATATCAAAATGGGAGCTAAAAAATAATATATATGTATAATTTCTTTATTAATGAGCATAAATTCAGAATGATAGTTTTTTTTTCATGCCTGGAAGATCAAATGTTTGGTATTCTGAAGTTTCTCACGTTCTAAACATCGTACAAATCGATCGAGATTATGATTCAAAGTTGTTTCTATGGGAACTGAAAAGAGAGGTATTGGATATATATATGTGTACATATTGCACGAGCATATTGTCGTAGATGAGTTCACTGATAAAGTAACTTTAAATATTGAATAAATACATCATTTCTGGATGAGTTTCGATGGGTAAACTATAAATTAAAGGCATTGAATATGTGTCAGAAATCATACCGTTATTTATACAAATTCTACCAAACTCACTTGTCTCACAAAAGTTTCCTGTAAAACCATCCAAACATTTACAACTTCTTTGGCAACCGATACTTGAACACGTCCCCCAATTAAGACAAGGGGATGGAGAGCACATATCAACAGCTAAAAGTATGGAGTAAGTTATTTACTTTTTTGCCATATCAAATTGTAAAATTATCAACTTATATTTCCCACAACGAACAATGATTTCGAAATAATGTTTTATATTCATAATCTTTTTTCTCTCTTTGTATGTATTCGAATTAAAAACAACAAAAGAATTATGAAAAGCTATTGATAAAAAATCAGAATTTAGCGGGATCAAATAAAATATGCTTAAAATATCAAATTTATACCTTTTAGATGCCACTAAAAGATTAGAAAAATTTCTAGCGTGGGTGAGATAATATGTTGAATGCTTTAGTAAACCTACTTGGGACCTCGCAAATATATCCCTGATTTCTTTTTCCGTGATTATTGATCCATGTCATATTATTCCTTGTTGACGTAAAATAAGTCAAGTACTCATTTCCAGGGATCACCGGGTTCCAAGACCACCTTCCGCTGGTTATCGTTGTACCGTCAACCCACACCCAATCGTTATTTGTTTTGTAAGCACCAATCCAAAAGGAAATTGTGTCACCCACATCACCATATTGATTTATTATTTGACTTTCAATGAAATCTTGGATTGCATTTGTTTTCATCATCACTACAGTTCCTCCAAGACTATTGCAAGTTGTACTGGCATCACTGAATGTTTTCTTATTGTAAAAATCCACATGATATTTGCAGTTTCCATTCCATTTATACGTTGGTTCTGCGAGGAAATAATTCAAAACTTAAAATACATCTCGCAGATCGATCTGCAGATATAAGATACAATATTATTGATTTATTACTTATCGATCTTAAGATCGGTAAGTATGTTGATAGGTATTTGTCTGTTAGTTTGTTTGTCTGTTAGATGCACGCGATATCTCACGGAAGCGAGGTTGAATCTGCTCCAAAATTTGCATGTGCATTCATCATAGCTCGGATCAGAAGCCTATTGATTTTTGAAATCATGTCGTATAATTAGCGAGTTATTAATAATTAGTGATGAGACACACGGTGTCACTATGGAGTAAAAGCGCTGTTTTGGGGGATCCCCTAACCTCCGATCGATAAGTCTTCGGTCTCCGACGGTTTTCTCGTATATGTATATATTAGTTAGTTACCTTCACAAGTAGTACCATTGTATTCTGGCCGACAAAAGCAAGTATAATATGGTTCCATATTCAAATGTTGACAGGTGGCTCCATTTTTACAAGGTGATGACTCGCATACATCTAAAAATAAAGTGATACAAAAAAATTATGACGTCAAAATTATCATAAACTGGGTAGAAATAGATTTTTGGATAGTTATACAAAAAATAATTCTCAATACAAATATTTTCCAATATTTGAAATAGAAATCTCTTTTTGGTGATATATTTATTATAATCTGCCCAGATATCTCTCGTCTCCGAAACCATGGACACAATTTTGTGAAGTTGCGACTAATATGCTAAAAAAAGCTGACAATATTGTGATTTTCTAATGGATTTCGAAAAAAACGAAAATGAGAAAAATAATTAGTATACTGGGATATATTTATGCAGTGAAGGCAAGATTAGTTATTAGTATTTAAACATGGAAACAAGAAACTCGTTACAAAAGGGCTCTAGAATTTTCCATACATAGGAATTACTTCAAATAGGTTACGTAAAGGCATGAAGTTAGTTATTCATACTCACCGGTTACTATTAATATCAAGGTTTCTATTCTTGAGTAAGACGAATCTTTGCCGAGAGGACTAGCTTCAAACTTGTATAAAATAGTTGATGATGGGACATCGATAGGGCCAATGTTGATTGTCAACGTTGTTGAGGGATTGCTGCTACTGACATCCCAGGTGGTAACAGTTTTAATTGTTACGTTATTCTGATTTTTCACATCAACCTTCACGTTTCCATCGTATGATGTAATGTTGAGTTGAACATCGATGCTTTCTCCTCTTTTTATTCTTCTTTTGGCAGATGTTGTAAAAATTGATATAAAGTCTATTAAAAATATTTAAACCATTGATGCTGTTATGGTTGTGAATTATGAATTATAATTATCTTGTACCTTGAATTAATTATGTGTAAAATGATCGTGATATTTCATTTGGTCCAAATGTAAATGAATGTTCGATTGAAATATTCAATATGGTTCAATTATTCTTATTTGAAAATTTCATCATTCAAAACTAATCTTTAATTTAAAAAATAAATCGATCAATATATAAAATCGGATCTTTTTAAGCAAAACTGTTTTGACCAAAGATAATTTAACTAAAAAAGTATGTTGTGAGTGAGAAACGTTATTTTTTGCTTACTCTAAGCTAGAGCACTGGTTCTCAACCAGTGGGACATGACCCACAAAAACAGTTTTAGGTGGGCCACAAACATATTAAAAATTGCTAGAATTATTGATAAATTAGTTAAACTTTGATTGTAGTAGCAATGAATGATGATGCTGTTCTGCTACTGAGCGGTAATTCTCATTTTACTTATTAAAGTGAAATTGCCTATCATTTCGAAAAGAATTTTCTGTTTTTCTTGTATTTTTTTCCTTGCATGGGAAAGTTGATGAGCCACAGAATTTTTTGTGCAACAAAAGTGAGCCAAGAAAGAAAATAGTTGAGAACCACTGCTCTAGAGAATATGCTCTTCAATCTTCTGTTCTTAGTTTGATTTCTTAGTGATTGTAGTTTACATGGATGAATATATGATTCAAATAATGTTTTTATATTGTTTTTCAAAATCCAATAGTTATAAAATGTTTATATTACTTTAAAAAAAATTTCTTACTATGACTTCAGAAAATCATAATATCATTTGGATGGCCGAGAAACTTTTTGTTTTCCATTTATATCACTTTTTATTCACGAGATTTCTAGCTTTTAGTATCATAATCAATTTTAAAAAAAATTATGCGACTCATTTAGACTTTATTAAATAAATATGTATGATAATGAAAATAGATCCGATTATATGATATTCCAAGATTTTTTTACATCTGGCTTCCCCCTTTTTTTTATTTGAAAAATGATTAAAAATAATAAATTTATATTGAAGAACACAATATTCGAATGTTGAAGATTTAATGGTATTTGAAATAACATAACAGCATTCTAATAAAGGTAAAAGTTTGACGATGGGGAAACTCGATAAGTTAGTTACCTTGTTTGAAGTATGAAAAACATTAGTCTAACCGCCAGAGAAAAAACTGACTTTGGACTCAAAGCCAATTCTTCGAATGCGATTCATTTAGATAGCAAATAACGTTGAATATTATTTTCACGTGCAATAATACTGTATTACAAAATCAAAAAATTCACCAGCTTGTCGTGGCATTTATTAAAATTGGGCGGTATTGATTAGATGCCGTTATAAATACAATTAAAGCGTGATTAGAACTGTTTGAACGTTGATTTAATGCACGATCCAAGTCTCGTATTCAATGTGACTCTTATTTGCCCACTTTATTGTTGTTTATGGAATCTACTATGGTTCGGACTAGACTTCACGAAACCTCAATCGAAATATGTCAAGTATAAAAAATGCAATTGGACACAAGAAAATGTCGTCATCATTTATTCTTGGAAATTAAAACTTGCCTTTTTCACATTTTGTTCCAAAAAAACCGTCCTTACATTTACATGTATATCGTGTATTGCTAACCGTGCAAATTCCTCTGTTTAAACACACATCAGTACCACAGTTACCAGATGTTACATCTATGAAAGAAGATAAAGATGGTTTTAAAATAGAATGATATATCTAAATGTTACAGATTTAAATCAAATTGCAGATTTAAATTTAATAACAGTAGGGGATACGTGAACACTTCGTGATTTATGCTAATTTTAACATGATAATTCATTGTACGCTAATTCTTGTTTTTGTTTCATCTTTTAAATCATTATCTAATATTGTAGACTTGTCTAATATTGTAGACTTGATCCAGTCCTAAAATAAACGAAAAATGTTTGGCCATTTTGGAGCTTTTTTGCTCGTATGTTTCCTATGATATTTCTGGATATATCAGTATCACAATTCACAGCGCATTCATTCTGTGTGTAGGGTTATTGAAAAAGATGCGGAAAATTTAAAAATTCAATTTAATTACTCACCCTTTTGACAGATGTACCCAGTTTTTGCTGTACATTTTGTATCAGTCCATTTATAATTGTACACAGCATGTTTCAATAAGCAATTTTCATCTTTTCCGCCGTTTGGTTCATTTTTGTCACCTGGCCACCGCAACCTATATAACAGTCAAGAATGATAAGACAATGCTATTTAATTTATAAAAAAAATAGCGCTCCAGAAGTATGTGCATCAAGATGGCGGACACCGGAACGTAGTATGTGTACCAGGTTAGGGTTAGGCCATAATTTTATTCCAATTTTCCTCATTTTAGTTCTATTACGAGTTCCGTGACTAGCCAAGTCACTCCCATGGAAATTAATCCTGAAATTATGGTCTAACCCTATCCTAGTACACATACCTGATCCCGGTGTCCGCCATCTTGGTTCACATACCTCTGGAGTACCAAAAAAATTATAAAAATATTTATTTGTATTGTCAACAACAACAGCTTGCCGCATTCTTGGCATTGTATTTGAAATAACGCAATTCATTTCAGGGAAAATGTGCATTGGAAGCAAATGCCAACGATAAAATATTTCATTAACTTCTTCACATATTTGATTGACCGATTATTTGAAAATATTTGACGTAAAAAGAAACAAATCACCAATGTGCATCAGTTTTACTGATGGTTGTTCCATCTCCCCATTTCCAACTATCTTCTGTCTTCAAGTCATTTCCACTTGTCCAGTAATTCATGGTACCACTGAAAATTTAAAAACTACTAACAATCGGGTAGCAATACTTCCTACGTATATCTGGATTCAGCATCAGAGAGACAATATGTACAAGAAAAGATATATATCAAAATGAATATCAAAATATTAATCAATCAATAAAAACTACGGCCTATTATTTTATAATTAACTGTCAAAAAATAGATCACGTTTACAGTTTTAGATAGCATTTGGCATAAACTTGAAAACGATATCTTTTCCTCATTTTATGCACAACACCAGATATTAGATCCGTTGTTCTTTTATTGTAATTTGGGTTCACTATATTATAATTTTCTATGTAATAATACTCACAGTTGAGAAAGTTTTGTTGTCAACAGTGAATCTAATCCATCGGTATTAATTGATACTAAACTCTTTCCATTTGTAATGCATGATATGTTCGCTTCGGAAAATGATTTTTTCGGATTGCTCATTATTGTTAGAGCCAAATTACTGTTACTATAGAGAGTCCAGGTTAAATCTGTAAATGAAATTCAATTCAAATAAAATGCATTGCTTAAAATGAATGAATGTTAAAATGAATGTTTTGAACAACAAAACCTATATCATATGTACAACTAAAACCACTTGATTTAGTTCTTTACGCATTGGGTTGTTTTAGTTACTCTGTTAACTAACTTCTGGTGATATTATGCTTGTTACTAACTATCATCAAAAAGAGGCTTTTTTTGTTCAGTAAATATTTGAAATGATTGCACCAAATAAACTGAGGATTGTTTGCTACATTAAAAGATTATAGGGATGATCACAATGAAATATGCGCGCATGAACGTGAGTAATAGCCACTACTCCTGTCTCAGTTTCAAAAACTATAAAATGCGTCCCAACAATCTTTTTGTAGAATTGGCGCTAGCATTCAAAAGGGCAAGGTCAAGTATGAAAATGACTATATATATAACTATACATTTTAACATACCTAATTGACATACATACCGCAACCGGAGTTGGCAGTCAGTATTAAACCATTTTCCATCACTAGTTCTAGTAGATCCACAGTAGTTATTTTTATTTGAGTTAACAATTTGAGGATTTCCGGCAAACCTGACAGAAGAATACAAAGCAAAATTGATGAAGTTTTTATTCACAAATAGTGTTTGAACAATTTTGCATGTTATTGCTTCGAATTTCTTATTATTTAGATTTATGATTAAAAATTTTAAAAATTTATATAAACCCATGCAATCTTACAGTTTTTGCCGAATTTTTTTGAAAACATGATTAGGGTAACGAAAGTTTACTAAGCTGAATCACACGTTCAAATAGAAAACATATATGTTTTTGTTATTTCAATATTCATAGAAAACATTCGACAGGAAATTTTGGTATTAGTTTGCACAATATGTATTATATCAGAAAACTTATATCTTTTGAAAAAATTATTGCTTTTATAAATTGATTCGTCTCAATGAAACGATGAATCGCATTTTGCTCACAATTACTGTAATCCTTCTTAAAATAGTTTAGCGTTTTATGTAACGTTAATTTATTGAAGATCAATCAATAATGTTGAAAAGAAAATTTTGGAACATCCCTTCAAATTCGGTATAATGAGAGCCGATATTTTACCGAAACTTTTTCTGTCTTAATATGAGAACACTTCAGATTTATTTGCCGATCTTTTCAACAAACTCTGTTCGCATATAATTGTAGTCTATTCTTTGCGCGGCCTTTGTGACTGTATATTTGAGCATTGCCTTCTTTCTTTTAGCAAGTCAATGTTTTAAACTTAATTAATTTTTCAATATCGCCATTTTATGTTGAAATGTTCAATTACGTGGATTATTAGATAAATATACTTATATATATACGCATAAAAATTCGGATGTAAAATATTTTTGGTATATATAAGATTTCTAATATATCTAACATATAAACATCGCAAGTTTCTATATATACCTGTTATCCTAAGAACAAAACAACATTTTACAGATATCGTTTTCTTCAAATATTCCTATTAAAAAGTGAAAACACAAAAAAAACGTACCAATTGGTATATTTCAATGAATGTTCAATGTTGTTCCATTTCCATCCACTGTCATAATGCAAACCGATCCAAAGGGCCGATCTTAACAAAAATTGCATTTTCTATAATTTGATCAATGCCTTTCGAGTAAGAGTGTAATTTATCGTGAAAGATCAAATATTCGGAGACTTAACGAGGAATCGGAGAATTTATAAATGAGGTCTATGTATATATGATGTATATAAATTTCTTTCATTCAGAAATTTAACATACAACTCTCCAAAACTGAAGTAAAGCTGTTTTAACACCCACCTTTGCATATTAATATTCCCAATAAAACTAGCCCCTATGAATACAAATGAAATATTTGATATTTTCCTACGTTTGTAACTGCCTTATTGCAGCTTGAGTTTCTTCATCTTTAATCTCAACAAGCCATGCATTTCTGCCTTCACAAACAGATTTGGCAGCATCATATGTTTTTCCTTCTTCAAACAGTTCCAATCTATAGTTTCTAAAACTTGATGTACCTAGACAATAGTAACTTTACTAAACTCCGATCATTTTTGCAAAATGTGACAACTCAGAGTTTGCTCTCGATTCCAGAAAAACCCTTCGCATGTTTAACCGTTGCAATGTTTTTAAGCCCAATTTGAGAATGTTGTTGCGAGTTGGTGCTTACATGCTGGTTTACAAGTTCTGCTCCTAAAAAAAACTCCTGGGAAATTTACCTAAAAAATTACCGTTGATTCATTGATACTTGAATTTCATAAACACAACTAAGACGGAGGAATAGCACGCAAAACCCAAAAACAACAATCAATGTTTACAACCACATTTGAAAATCGCTTTTCGTGAAAAAAATGTTTCGGCTGCTACAGAAAGTTTTATTGTTATGTGATCTTTGATTTATTGCTATCTGCATAACTAACTTTTGTTGAGCAGAGAGAATATATATAAATAGAACTTATATAACAGAACCCGCGAAAATATCTCTTGTATTTTACGAAAAGATATTCATAGATTCAATGATGCTGAACAACAACAACAAAAATGGAAATCTGGTAAGGAAAAAACAAACTGCACTCACCTGAAGGGGATTGTCCTTGAATAAAATTAAAAAATCGAATCCATATAAGTAGTAATAAATACCGCATGGTATCCTTTTTCTATATCACAAGAGTTTATATTATGTTTATGCTGTATATGACTAAGCAGAACGCAATAGATAAAAATTATTGTGAGAGTTTTTCATTGTAAAAATTTATTTGATTATTGATTAATGATTAAAGAAAACTCCCAAACTCAATAATATCAAATTAAAAGTTCAATATTCCGAAATATAGTGAACAATTTTTTCGTATTATCTCCCAAATTTACATTTTTAATGAAGGATGACATGATTTTCAGAAATGGACTATTTTAAAATATTATTGAACGCTAATTTTGGAGAATACGAATTAGGCTAATTGAAACACTATTCCAAGCTTGTCAATAAAAAATATACATTTTCAAAACGAGCCCAATTTACAGTTTTGAGCTCCTATTGCCAAGAAAGATTTCTGATTAGCCAGGCTTGTAAGCAAGTAGAGGTCGTCGTTCTCGGCAAATAAGGTGAGCTAGTTTCCATTGTTTTAAAAATCTCTCTTCACAAGATTATTGCGGTAGAAATCTGAATTATCGGTTATTCGAATTTAAACAATAATTATTCTGTCAAAACCAAAACTTCGGAAAAAAATTTCTTCTGACTAAGCAGATGTGGGACAAATATTGATAATTCTCAAAATTGATAATGCCTATATTATCACGTAACCGAAAATAATCCAGAATCTTGTGTTGTTATTTTGTTTATAATAAATGCTAACAAATAATTTGTAAATACTTTTCTTGCTGATTCATTAATTTGGCGTCGCCTGGTTTTCCTTTCCGTAAACTGAGTGATATAGATTCAAATTACAGTGGATTGTCTCGATCGTCCATATTAAGTTTTACAAAATTGATATACTTTCAAAATTTGAAAAATAAATAGTACTACGCTGCCGTCGATCACCATTTTCGTCAAACTGCCAACCAGATAAAGCAAATAAAAATGGTAAGTTCAGAAACAAGAACGAGCAATATGGCAGCATCGCGATAATATATTTGGAACGATGCTGTTTTTTTCAATCAAATCTAAACCAATCCTACGCCGATCTGTTATAGAAGTTATTATTAAAAATGCGTGAAACCTTTGCCCTCGCTTTTACTTCCTTCTGCCATCTATTTTAACAGTAGTTAACTAATGTGACTTACAAAACGGAAACGCGTTTTTAGTCATTGGAATCGATCTAGCTATCTATACTGATGAGATGCAACCCAGTGAATTTGATGATGAATAATACCTGGTCCAGTTCGGTCTATTCGTGATGAATACAAAATGCTCGTTAAAATAGAATTTGTGCACACGGAACTTTAACTCACCTCAGTGTATTTCCGCAATTTATCATAACACTCACGTAGCCTGAATAATATATGATATGGTAGTCAGGATAATGTTTCCTGGTAACAATACTCGAAAAAGTACCTATGAGTATTTTTTTTCTTGTCTACATATTTGGAATTCAAATTTTTTGTTAGCCGGTTCCATCACACAAATGTCATATCTTTCAGCCGGTTCTGTTACAAAAGTCATGTTTTTTTTTCAGTGATGCTAACCGGTTCGCTGATCTCATAAAATTCCGTGAGACGGTTCTATAGAACCGGTGCGAACCGGCTGAATCCCACTACTGGTTCTAAGTTCTAACAGGCACCGGAGAATGGGCTCTGGGCTCTTCTTCAAGTAACATCGAGGAATATCAACATTCCATACTGATTGCTTTCCCAGTTCTTCATCCAGTAAATTCAATTCTGGAGAAAAGTCTCTAGTTCTGAACTCTATCGAGGTAAAAATTGTTGCTTGAAGCAACAGATTTATTGGCCGATGAATGGCAAGGCAACACATTCTCACCAGGTTGTAGGAAATACCTAATTATTGCTTACAGATTATTGAAAAATATTCCAATTCACCCTCAAATGAGACAATAATTCTGCAGTGACGCATTATCAGCTATCAACATTTATTTCGCAAAATGGTTATGGATAACATTGCAATAATCCCAGTAACAATTATTTAAATGCTAATTACCACTATTTTGAGAAATAAAAGATGATAGCTGGTAATGAAAAGTTCATTTACGATTGAACAAATACCGAATACACGGTTCTTATGCTTAGTGGGAATAAATTGTTCTATAATAGGCGAAGAAAGATTGAAAACCATTAGTTTGAAGCCATATTCTAATTCGTTTATACGATCTCGAAACGCTCTTTTTGAATGGTGAGGTTGAGCCTCAAAAACCAATTTATGGAATACAGAAAGTCCAATGACTTGTCATCAGCCTCCCTTTAAAAACAAAAACAGCTGGTATGGTCAATTCAAAAACAAACTGGTAGTGAATAATCCATGCATGCTAATCAAAATGGTGGTGGATGGAGCAACAGCAATAAGATATCACAGTTTTATTGCAATACATATTTATGTCCGGATTGTCCGCATTATAAACTGCATAAAACTGCGACTTGGGTGTAACATTATCTAAAGATTCATTAATGAATGGATAAATTGCGGATACGGAGTTCTTGTGCATATTGAGGGAAACGTTTCAAAATAGGCGCAGAGAAGAATTTTTCGAAAAAGGTTGGAGGCCACTGCTTTAAATTCATAGTCATTTTTTTGTTTCGATCACTCTAAAGATGAGATTTTCGTATTCATCCCGGGTAAGAAAAAATGATCGCACCAATTAATCACAGGATAATTATTCCTTTCACTTCATAATTTATTGCAAACATTTTCGTGAGAAGCGAGGTATTATGCTATAAACATCAATGCATGGAATACAGTTACCACCCCTCTTCAAATCTGAAAACATAGGAACTATAACTCAGTTTTATACCTGAACCTAATATCGACAGAATTGCCGTCATTGCTGTGGTTATGTTCAATTATGGGATAATCATTAATTAATTACCGCACCAGTAAAGTGCTTTTTTCTATTTGTTTACGTTTGTGTTTAAGTCTGTGTGGGAGCGGTTTGCTTTGTATATGGTAGTGGAATATTAACTGAAACATAGCTATGAGATGAATTGAGATAATGTTATCTTAGAAGAGAGCTTAAATGAGGTAAGTTATAGATAAAAATTAGTTATCCAAGATTATTGCAAATACTATATTACATATAATTTCGAATTATTTTTTGAAATCCGAGATGACTGCTATATGTAAAATCATTATTTTCAAAGAAATAATATCTACGAGCAACCTACCAGAAAGCTATTGAGTTTTGTACAAATATAAAAGAGGTTAGTATGGTTTATTCAGCATTGCGAGCAAAGGAAACTTGACGCAATACCATTACCAAATCTAGCTTAGAAATTACCAAGACATCATCGGTCGTTGTTTTCAACAAGAACAACTGGCCAGTCATGCAAATAGATATTTCAACCCCTTTAGCACAGTTGTCCCGCTGTTCGGGGTTGAGGTAGAGACATATTTTAAACAGGCGGTCAAAATTGGAATAAAATATGGAATCCGTGCAACTTGCTTAATTCAGGTAAGTAGTATTCATGTGAATAGATAGGTTATTTTAATAATACAGGATAATTGTTCACTTCCCTTTACAAACTCCCATGTATGAAATTCAGATAATATAAAACTCTGATTGATGTGATTATATAAAGTAGTATTCATACAAAAAGAGATTCGTACAATTGGCACAAGTAGGGCAAGAAGTTTTTGACAATTAGAAAACTGGAGTATTGTTTCAATTCTACGAACACGCGCGGAAGAAGAGCCAAATTTCTTATTTAATGGTTGAATTTGTGAGTGTCTCGTGCTGATGATAAACTTGAAAATATACCTTTTTAATCAGGTATTTCAGAAATTATCACAGAAGAGTGGGAGGACGATCGTTAAACAAAATGTGACATTATTACTTATTACTTATCGATTTTAATCGGTAAGTATGTTGATAGGTATTTGTCTGTCTGTTTGTTTGTCTGCCTGACTGATAGATGCACGGCAGCTGTGGTGCACGTTACCCATTTGCTGCGATCGTTTAACTTTTAAAGCAGAAAACGTGAACAGATTTGCTATTTATCACTGCATTCCAATCGAATATTATTTGCTTCTAATTGGCGTCCGAACTACAATTTCTTCGCCATCGAAAAAATGTTGCGTTGCTGTGATTATTTAACAGGTATTATAATGGATTTGTGTTCTTCTGAACTGTCGTAACTTATTCCAAAAAAGTTTTCAGTCGTCAGATGCTGTTGGCTGTGAACTCTCACGCGTTCATTCATTGTACTTGCTATACCTAAAGAAATTTATGCTCGAAAGTTTTTTAAAGCTAATATAATATCAAATAATATTTCGTGTTGTGTAATGCAGATCGGAGCGGTCCAGTCCTTATCTTGATCTCTATTGCACCCTCTTTCTGCGATTGCCCGATCCTAACTCCAACGAATGCAAAACTATCAGAATTTACCAGCACACAATTGATATATTATTGCCAACTCCAAAGTATGTCATGGATATATACTGTTCCCTACTGTCTTAACAGCGCCAGCGACGCGAAAGCCGCGTAATATGCTTATAGTTGGAAAATGGATTGTAATGATCAACTAGATCTGTTCCTATTCAAACCCGATTTACAACTAATAATATATAATATTTTTGCCTGATTGTGCCTACATTTTTTTCAAGAACTTCAGTTATGTCGGATTCACTTTACCCCATAGCTGCGGTATTTTCCTGATCGTATTGACATGAAGTGCTAAAGTGTGCAAGTATGTATATGGTAATCAAAATATATGCAGCAGCAATAAAATATAATCCTTCAACGAAGTGCTTCCCAGCCTCAGAACTCTTTCCCATGAAGAATTTTGTGTTTTCGGGGAGCAAATATAAATTACTTTGTAGGCTGTTAAGTGTATGATTTAGTTATTTAGTATAATTGTAATACATATTTTTAGACACATGATGAAGTATTCAAACTGCACATAAGTCTGAGTGCGACTTGCCCGTAACATTAATGGTATAATGAGGGATGAATAAAGAATTCAAGAGTAGGTTGATTAAGGCATCACCAATAAATTACCAAATTTGATCGGTTGTACGTTGAAGCATGTCATTGCCTCCATGAAAAACGGTCTCATTTGGAAGTATAATTGTCTGTATTGGAGATGTATTGCATTTTCGTCTCAAGAAACATGAAATCTATACATTTTCGCGGCCAAGAACAATATATTTTTGTAGGCAGCGAGATGCGGGCGACTTTGAACTCGGCCAGGCGCGAAAAGTCTTGCGGTAGATTATCATTCATTTTCCTTGTTAGTCTATACCGTCGGAAGTCTTCCTCAAACGTCATTTGCTCGTTTCCACAAGTTGTATGCAAGTGTAGCAAATACATACATCTATCTAGCAGTTGCTAATTTGAGTCTAAATAAGTCTAGGACTCCATTTCATATATATATTTTTTACTCTAATAATTCCCATATGTATCAAAGACACGTGACCATGGTTTCAAAAGTTACTTATGAAAACATGTTAATTATTTATCTATTATATTAATTGCGTGGTTATTAAAATGAAGAAAAGGCGAGACTAAAAATAAAATTATGATGAATAGGATCCGAGTATTCACAAAATTGTCAAATGAATTAAAATTACTATTATAATGTCTACACTACAGTAAAGAAGTTGAAATGATCTCGGACTACACAAATTAAGTATACATCGACACGCGCACCTGAATCCAGCATTCTTGTAGGATATTGTCTATTTAATATTGTCAATCTGTGAGCTATATATTTTTATTGGAGGTAGAAATGATATTCCATCCTTATTTTTCATGAAACTCTATATTAAATTCGTGAGGACTGTATGAAACTGCAAATACGCCTTTATCAAACGAAGGTAGTGGTTTGTTCCTAGGTTTCCGTATTTTAAACTGTCTGACAATGTTTGCGAAAACCAAGAAAACGTGCATTCTTGCTATCTGTTCTCCAATACAATGGCGACTTCCAATGCAAAAAGGCATCACGTGATCAGTTGGAATGAATTTCTCGTCTTCATCAATAAATCTTTCTGGAAAAAATTCATCTGGATTCTTGAATACTTTCGGATTTCGATGAACAGCCCAGAGGTTTGGAACAATCTTCAAAAAATAAACAAATAAATAAACTTCGCCTAGTTTGACTTTACTTCCACTTTATTGCTAATTGCTAGTATTAAGTTGAAATAAATGCCTTGCCACACGACGATTTTGACTAGATTTTATCTTCAAATAAAAAAAGGATGTCTGAACAAATCATTCAACGACAAACTGTCAGTTTTCAGTGAACACGAACGAGTTTGACAGACTGTAGCCGACTGGAGCAGTATCGATATTTACCATCGAATATGTATAAATTAACAGAACCAATAAAGGGTACTCCAGTAGTATGTGTGTTGTGTACCAGGTTAGGGTTAGGCCATAATTTTGTTCCGATTTTTCTTATTTTAATTCTATTACGAGTTCAGAATATACCCCCTGCCCATAGGTTTCAGTCCCTTTACACAACAATGTAAAGTAGGCGAACAAAATTAGTTACTTCCATATTGGTACAAGCACTTTTGGAGCGCCCAATAAACTGGGTAGGATAAGCAAAGAACCGCGCAGTTGATTGCTTGTTCGCACTTGGACGTGTTTCGTAAAATGCTATTGTCGTCTGGTCACTATATTTATTATCCCCTACATTGTCATATACGCCAATATCTTTTATATTCATGGAGTTAATATATCAACCGTATGGCTTATATTATCCCAATAGATAGATGGTTAGCATTCTTTAGAACAGGGATTTTCAGCTGCTGGTATTTTCATCTGCTCGTCAGATACATTAGCGCAAGTGTTCCCAAACCTCGGGCCAAATCCGGCCCACGTAACGATTTGAAATGGTCCGTCGGACTTGATTAGTGATGGGACACGCGGTGTCGCTCTTGAGTCAGAGCGAAAGATACACGCCGCTAGATCGATAGGTCGGCGGTCTCCGATCGCTATCTCGTTTTTTAAGGTTTACCAGCGTTGTTTTATCTATAATACGTAATAACGACAGAGCCGGAAGATTCATTCTCAAGACTCATTCCCTATTTGTCTGGACAAGAATTTCCATGAATAGTGTTTGCAACTTAATTCTGGTTAAATTAAGGTTGTTGGCTGTGGTTAAAACATAATTTATATGGCTGCCGGTTAGGGCCAAACATTTGGTATGTAAATACTGTTACATGCTATATGATTTGATAATCTGTATATAATTTATAACATATTGTTATTTGTCGATTGCCTTGAATTGTAGTTGTGATTTTGTAATACTCTATGATTTTATTAGTTAGCCACATGAAAGATTTCATTGCAAGTATTGTCATGTTGATTGATATTAAAAAATGACGTCGGTTTTAAGTTGAATACCACTGGGATAGGACTTATAAAGCACAGGCCCGTTGTCAGCTGTTCACGAACTATGATTCTTTGAAAGTACTATCATTTCAAGTTTGGGTCCGGACTCCGGATTGGGACACATTGTCAAAGTGACCATCGCCAGTTGAAAAAAATCTTGATAGTCATAAGCACCATTAAACCTTTCTTGGCCGTCTCCCTGTGCCTGTCATATATAACCTCTTCATAACCTCCACTAATCACTGACTATTACCCCCAAAAATTATATTTGACTCATCCTTAGGGGACGTGTCATGAGAATATTGAGAACCACGGGACTATAGCAAGAGTGTGAAACCTGCGGCCCGCGGGCCAAATGAGGCTTACAAGGAAAAATTTTGCCGCCCTATAGGAGAACTGCAAATTTTGAATTATGTGCGCCAGCAAAACGGGTTTTTAATTCAGGTTAAACTGGTATGTGCGAGTGATTCCAATCCCTTTTCGACTTTGCGTTGCAACGCCTATGCCGGAGTCCAATTTATTATCTACGCCTATGACGTTACGATACCCTAACAGCTAGCTTGTGCAAAGCGAACAACGCATGTCATAAGATCAATACCCAAAATATTTGTGCCTGCAACTACTAGAAAGCCTATGTTGAAAAAAGATGCGGCCAGCGGTTTCACCCAGTTATTTGTATGTGGCCCTCCTGTAAGGTGTCACACCCCTAGACTATAACCGGATGACGACAAAATATTTTGAAATCCTCGGGCATATGGCCAGAAACAAATTGCCATCATCTGATTTATAAGATGTACATTGTCGAGTGTGATCCTAATGCTTAGCCATTCTCACCGTAGTTTTTGCTGGGATATTGTAACCCTGAACAATCATGTCTTCCGTCGTTTCGTGCGAAACCGCAAGTGGTGCCGGAGTCCTGTGTCGCCAAACTTCTTGTATGAAAGCTCGAGTGTACGGAAGTTTTTCTTCGTGTTCCATTGTAACCTTGCTGTCTTGGCCTTAAAAGGATTGTTTTTATAGCTTGGGCGGGAACTAGAAGAAAAAGAAAAAAACAGGATTCCGGAGAACACATTCAGCCTCAACCCTTCATATCTTCATTTCGAAAACATTGAATGGATTTCGCGGCGGCAGTAAAACTTGCGAGATAAAAAAGTAGACATTGCCCTATGATTAGTAACGAAGCCGTAGCAAGAAATTGATACCGATCTACGAACAATCGAAAGGTTTATATGCAATTTATTTTTAGATATCAGTTAAAACAAATTGCACTAAATTGTCAGCGCATTGTTTTCATTTTGTGGCTTGACATTTCGCGTGTGGGAAATACAAATTTGTACGTGTCAGGCCGGAAAAGTTGAGAATATTAGATGTTAAAAATACTAATTTTGCTGGATCATAAAATTTTCATATTTCCTCAAAACGTCGCTAAATCTTATCGCCTTAGTGCATCGGCTGTATGTATTAAAACGTAACTTAGCTAAGACCAATCTGAAAAATTATGAATCAGCTTGAGACCTGAATGGGTGCAGAATTGACCAGATGAATAAATAATCCGACTGTAATTGCGAAAATTGTAAAGCTATTTTTGACTTAATTTTTAACTATCATTTCATACCTATTGCATTATTTAATTCCTCCGATATTTTGTCCTGACATTCAGGAAATACAGCCAAGGCAAATAAGCACCAAAGAATGCTAGTCGATGCTGTATCCGTACCTGCTCCAAGAATGTCCTGAATTATGATGATTAACTGGCGCATCTAAATATGGTTTAAAATTTTAAAATTTCTGCATTTAATATTGATGTTTAATTGGACCAATTTCCAAAAATAATTTAAAATGCTCATTGGTATTTATTTCCATTCACTCGTTACCAATTTTCAGTTTGTCAGGAATTCTAACCCGGCGAGATCGAGCAGTAATTTGTGATTACAGCGTTGTTTGCGAAGCCCCGTTCGGAAAACATTATTTACCTCAATTGAAATGTCAGAAGTTCACATTCATCATCTATAAATTGACTTTTCTGTCAAGCTAAATATTTAGAGTCTGCGCTAATTGTCAAATCACAACAATTACATACAAATCTCAAATAAGCAACTAATGCATTTAACTATACTCAGGTAAAAGTTATAGTGAATTTTAAAATATATATTAACATAAATAAATATACATTAACACTTCAGTTTTGTTGAGCAGCATGAAATCTGTTTTCAAATATATCCTAGTTGAAATGATTGTAGTGCCTTGTTTATTAAAAATATTACTTTTTAAATAAATTTCAAAAGAAATTTTTAAAACTTCAAACCGTGAATGACTCATCTTGTCCATTGTTCATTTCGTCAAGATATTTGTTAAGGAAATCTGAATATTCTTCCTTCTTGTCTGACGAATTTTGACGTTTCTCTATTATTGATTTTATCTTTCCTTGGTAAAAATACGGAATGATACACTTTTTTTGAACCTTAATTTTATCATGTCTATTTTTTTCAATTTACCACAAATTTACCATGAATAAATAAAATGGCTTTTATTAATTTTTAAACGCTGTACAGTTTATCAAGTTTAAAGATCAAGAGTCGTACATTGCTTACCCATGTTCTTTTAAAATGTTAGTTTCATTGCTCAATTTTCCAGAATTGTTGAAAATACGAAATTTATTGTTACATGGGCTTTCATACCATTTAAATTTTGACGACTTACATAACAAATATGGAATACTATATCGACCCACTATTTTCATGGGTGACATTTAAGAGATATCGATTATGCTATAATGTGTTGACAAGTGGAAATGTCAAAATTGACGAGGCAAGGCACAACGTACTTATCATTTATCGTTAAATTTATCGATATATTAAAATAATACTGCATAAATAGCCAGTTCACTCTATTTTGTAACGATCATGTTGGAAAAAGATGCGCAATACCTTGCAAAAAGAAGAACCCGGATAACATGCTCGAATAAGCTTTTTTGAAAATTGAAAAATGTCTGAGGAATGGAGCAAGAAACAAGATTCCAACATCTGAAAAACTGCAATATAACAAATTTGTTAATATTGCGTAACTTTGCACTTAAAATTGTCACAAAGTCGTACTAAAATAGATGAACGGAGAAGGCTATTCAATTCGCGATCACCGAGAACGTGCCGTGCTTAACCAATGTAAATAACTAATTCTCTGAAAATTATATAAAAAAACTTTTGGACGCATTAGCAATACGGGATATATAACCAAGATCACATATAAGAAAATATAAATGTCTATATGTAAATTAGTGAATTAAAACGCTAAACAACTTACATAGTTACAACTGAAGTGATGCGACCGAGTTCTTTATCATTATGTGGAAACCGGAATCCCATGAAAATATTGATCATAACATTTGCTGTCATGTTAGCGAGTAAATTCTGGGTAAAAATTATTATATTAGCATTAACTCGTAGAGTACTTTCCCCAAAAGTAATTACCGCAGAAATAACAATATCAAAAGAATGAATGAATTACAAAGGATTGAAACGACATGCCTTTAACTGAGCATTGGCTGAATCTAATTTGATGGGTGATATTTTCTGGCATCGTGTTTGCATCAGTATAAAACCTACCTACTATCAGGTAGATAAAAATCGGTCGTCAAATATAATGATTGCATTATATCAATTTAATTCAACAACAAGCAAATGATTGGGAGGCAAAGTGAGAAATAATGGGTTTTTTGCTTCACTCCGAGTAAGTAGTAACATTTGGATGTTAAAATTTTGTTTCTTGCTTTTATTAAAGCAAATGTAGAATAAAATTTACGCAATGCAGTTTATTGAACTGCTAATTTTATTCGTCTGGGAATTAGCCAACTGTATTCATTTACCGCTGTAATTCAAACGAACTCGTAAATATTGTTCACATATCGTTATGTGCTATTGTCTCAATTTACTTTCGAAATGGTGTTTTTTTAGTTCATTCCCTACAATACAGAAGCTTCTTACCTGACAATCAATTTCTTCATCACCTGTTTTGCTCAAATCTTCACATAAATAGGAAATTTCTTCGAGGATTTTGTCCTCAATCATCTGCTTGCTAAATCTAAAAATTACAGAAAATGAATTTTTATCAAATTTACAATATGGAGTCAAAATGAATCTTCCTGTGGAAGCCTATGGAATCTCCGAATGAATTGCGCTAAGTCAAAGGTTACTGAATGATGTGAAACTTTTGCGATCATTGCTTTGCTACTTTTTTCGGCGTCCGTAATAATATTAATAATAATAATTATAAGATATAAACACGAAGGTCGCGCATCGATAGGTACGGCAAAGCCTTCCAGCACCGAGTTTGCTGAAAAGAGCAGTGAACAAACTTGACGGGTGCAGTCAAGCGTAAGGGAATAAAAAGTGTTATTCATTTTATACGACAATTATTCGCGCCTTTTTCAAGCAAGGTTCCGTAAAACCCACTACTGATAGTAGGGACTAGGAGAATAAAAAGTGTTCCTGTTTAAAGAAAAATTTTGGTTCAAATATTGGGTCCCATAAGGCCCAATAGAGATTGAAATCGATCGATATGAGATTGCAAAAAAAACATTCATATATTCACAGAAACAACAAAAAAAAGTCAGTAAAACGATTCATCATAGGTCCACTTCGTGTTCAATAAGTCCTATTGTAATTGTTTTGCAAGTTTGTTCTGGGTCTAAATGATTTTTTTCTATTTTTTATAGCGTCATTTTGTAATAGAAATTGTTAAATTTGACATACTCTTGTTCAAGATAGTATTGCTAAAAGTTCTACAATGTAATAGTCACCCTTTGATAGTCTTCAAAGCAAACATTCGTTGACGTTTCCAGACTGGTCCACCGTTGAAGGTTATTGACAGCCCATAGTTGATTTCCTCCAATAACTTGATTCTTGGTCTATTCGCAGTAAGTCTCCCATTCTTAATTAAGGCCTGAGGAGGAAGAAATTTATAAATTGAAATTTAGTATACTTACCCAATTTACCCAGGTAACCCTAGCAAAAAATCAGCGTTGCTCTTTTTTCCTCTAGATCAGCGGTTCTCAGCCTTTGATTTACTGCGTGTCACGTTAGTGTGTTTTACTCCGACCGTGTACCACCGACAAAGCCCGCTTTGGGAGTATTCTATAATGTGTCACTACAGCCATTTTAGAGCTTCACGCGGAGTTTCAACGTATCAATTACATGCAGTAACAGCGTATTAATTGCGTGAAAAACCGCGAGAGAACTTGCATCGTCTACAGTCAAAACTGAAAGACTTTATTTGTCACAAAACTCGAACGAATACACTTTGATCGGCGCTAGCCGCTTCCATGAACTGCCTAACCCAGTCTACAAATTAATTAGCCTTAAAACTTGAGATGATGCCGACTAGCATGATGTATCAAGGCGTTATGAGGGCATATACACACGCATCGACCACTCCCCCCGAACGCTTCTTTCGGGGTCTTACTACTTACTAAATACAGTGCGAAACACCGCAAAGAGCGCAAAACAGCGCTAAAGAGCGCGAAACAGCGCAAAATAGCGCGAAACAGAAGGAAACCAGCGCAAAACAGAGGGAAACAGCGCAAAACAGGGGACGCAGTCATTACCACCTCCTGCCACGAAAGAACCACGGCGCCTCCTGCCATGGTTTTATGGCGCTATTTCCGGCATATTTACAAGGTTATGTACCGGATTATAGGTCATCATGCGAAATTTTATCTACCTTATTGGTGCTCCAGAAGTATGTGCAGCAATATGTCGCACAACCTGATTCCGCTACACACACACACACACACACACACGTACTATTTTCAGGTTGTGCGCCATCATGGTGCACATACTTCTGGAGGTCCCTTTTTACCTATCCCTAACCCTAAAGCCAACCATATCCATATGGAAAATGTTCTAAATTATGGTACCCAAAATATGTCACCAGCAGGGGCAGACCTGCCATTACAGCATTTCTGGCTACATACGTTGGTTTGTGTTTTTAATTTGCTGCCGTGGTACTCCAACTCAAAACAAGGTGCCCCGAACTCATTGCAAAATTTTTTTCCGCTCCACACTGTTTCCCTCTGTTTTGCGCTCTTTCGCGCTGTTTTGCGCTTTTTCCACACTGTTTTGCGCTGTTTCGCGCTGTTTTGCGCTCTTTGCGGTGTTTCGCGCTGTATTCAGTAAGTAGTAAGACCGCTTCTTTCGTATCCGATTTCTCTATAGCGATGCATTGGGAGCCTGACACGTTAAACGGGCAAAAACATTCCCGTCACGTTTTGTTTTAGACTGGCAGTAACGGGCGAGGGCGATCTCTAAAGACAAGGTCTGGTAGCGCTATAAACCCGTTCCGCAAATACATACAGTATGGGAGATATATGGATAATTATTGCAATAATTCACGTACCACTTGATAAGATCCCGCGTACCACAGGTTGAGAACCACTGACCTTCACATCATTATATATCAATCATCACCACACCATATTACCTCATGAATGGCATCTCGACTGTTCAGAACCACGCAATGTTCTGTTCCGATTTGTACAGAGAATACAGGACCGTAATCCTTTGCCAGCTCAGTGTAGGTCAAAGCCGGATTCTTATTTAAAAACGGCATATATCCGATGATCGGTAATCCGGTGGGCCCAGGTGGAAGGTTCTTCTTTTTGTGCTTTCGAAGATATATCATAGACAACAGACAAATCAAAATTATAGTAAAAATTGCTATCATTTTTATAAATATCTGTAAAAATGTGCATAAAATTTTCATATTTACCACATGTACCACACCAATTGAAATTTCATTTGAAAAATGTACTGTAATCACATAAAAGTTTCTTCTGCAAATAGAGATTCAATGAATAATTTTTCAGATTTAAAATACAACCAACGTGTCAGCTTCTGGCAGAATTTATTGCAAGACTAGAGTGTAGGGACAATCACATTGGGTTTCGGTATTTTGGGCAAAACTTGTATTATTAGCTGTAAATCGGGTTTAACTCTGATTCGTTGAATTAGGACAAAACCAGTTGGTCATAACAATTCTTAATTATTGTGCGTAATTCGCGTCGCAGGCCGTAGCCCGGGGACAAAACATATTGTGTATCCTACAAGAGTTCTGCTCTAGTTATAATGATTGCCTCTAACAGAGAGAGACAACTGAAGACTATTTCTTGCGTTAGTTCGTATGCAGGTTGATAAAAAGAACACCCTTTACAGGTGTTATGAGGCATGTAGCAAGCTCCGTTCTAAAACGGCTCTATATCCCGGGGGTAGACCATTTTTTAAATTGTTTATCTTTCTTCTATTCAATATGAGGCGACTTCCGTACTGCTCTTCAATAATAGTCTTGATTTTTCCGGCCAAGTTAAAAAAACGGCACTTTGAAAATATTGGTCTCAAAACCTGGTTTAAAATTATTTTGAGGCTGTAATTGGTTGGATCATTAAATAAATTTATTGATGCAGGAAGTCGTCTTTTAACTTGATCAAGGGCTTCTTCAAGCATGGACAAACATCTTTCCTTAACAGCCAAGATTACATGTTGGCATTTAATGGTGTTCGAATTCTTTTGAACGGTCATCAAATTCTCCGGGAATTGGTGTCAAATCAACATTATGAATATATTTTTCTTAATATCAATTCACCAATGGAATGATTGATTTATTATACACCCTAATATTAAGACTTATATAGTAAACTTGTGATCTACCTTAACAAATTACTGATAAATTCGATTATTATACAGTGGGTGAATTCAAATTGCAAAAGTATTAGACGACTATTTAACTCTAAGTGGATCACATACTGCAGTACTAATGCAACACCCAATACTATCTGTCTTTCCTCTCCCCGAAACTTCAATGACAACTGAGGGGTATGGTATCTGGCAATCTATGCGGTGCTGTCCTCAGTTTAGGTATATATAAGTCACAACAAAATACGTACAGTACGACTCAAAAGCTAAAATGTTAAGTATCTAAGCAATAGGCTATTGTTACACATTAAAAATTGTAATTCATATAATTTAAAAATAATTCCGACGCCAAATGTGTTTAAAAAAAACCAGAATTATCAAATTTGGCGTTCAATAAACAATGTGGCAACCCTGCTATGACCCAGATCGTACAAATTTACACGATTTAGGCCCAATTCTTGCCTACACAATTGCACATCAAAAAATACCATTATATTACAGCAATTGTGACATAATCTCAGATTAGAAAATTGATAACACGACATATGAGCGTTTGTCACAGTACAAATCTTGCTCAAAAAAAGGTGGGTAGTAGTTGAGTTTATTTCAATGTTTAAAAAAGCGAGCAAATGCTACATGAAGCTGTGGCCCGTTAAACCTGGAGGAACTACCGGTGTACCAAGAACTGTGAAAATTGTAAAAACAATATATATGTCGAGAATATTTCAGATTACTGCCTATTTTACGACAGAATCAGGCCTCGTCTGGACTGCGTATTGAGACTAACTTGTCCGACCTTTCTGATACATGAATCTGATCTGTTAATACTGCACCTTATTTGCTAAGAATTCCACAATTTAACAAAAAAGCATTCAGCCTGTCAGGTAGCTGCATTCAAATCGCAGCTTTCTTCACTGTGAAGCATATTTATTGAATTATTCTGCGGCGTATTTATCTAAATAGTATATGAATGAATTCAGCGATATAACGTAGGCTGTAACTTCGTTGGTCCACAAACATTACACTGTATAAATAGTAAAACTTCGTCAATAAATCTATTCTCTATCGTCGGAATGGAATAAACCGGCATTAAGTTAATTTGCTTCGCGGTATATGAAATAGATTAATTTGTCTTAATTCAAACAAATTTGATTCTCTGAATACGACACAGTGAGAGTGATGTACTGATAATTGAAATCTATAAAGCATAAAACACGTTTTCAAAAAATCCCAATTTATCAAATCGACAGTTCACCTCGCCGAGCAGGAAGTAATAGTCTCGTTTTAAAATGCCGATATGAAACTCGTTCACCTTTGTGCAAATTGTAAAATATTACTCACTGAAAACAGTTAGTTTCATATTTCGAATGCTTTTCTTAAAATACGAAGTTGACAAAAACCTTGAAATTCAGGGACATGTATTTATTAGCCTATGTAAGTAGATGGATGGGTTTGTGCCCCTACACCTTCCTTTAACCATTTTAGTTTAATTAATGAAACTGAACACGACGCGGCATATGACTAAACGGTATGCAATCGACAAAACATGTATATACTACTTGACTGTAGTTAGCCGACTCGAATTGATTTATTGTCTGTATTGCGTACACAATGCGCGCTTGTTATCTCGAATACCACTAAAAATATAAATACATGCACTCATTTTGTGCCGATTTTGTATCAGTAGCAAACAAATATATCAAATTAAAGCCGCGATTGCTGCCGCAGGCAGATAATTGCTGTAATTTTCTTTAATGTTCGGATAAAATTATACGTTTCATTTACGAAAAATTATTAGTGCGATTCTTCTTATTAAATTATTAAATCTTCTTCGTGGAAATTTTTATCGATGTTTCTGACGTATAACCAACTTTAAAATTGAGCATTACAACTATTACGTTCGATTTTAGAGAACAACACAAACCTACACACAGTATTAAACAACTTTAAAATATTAATTGCATTTCTGAAACAGAGAACTTTGAATACATGCCAATAGCGAACGAAAAACGCGTGCAATATTGTGAAATCGAACCTGAATCGATTTTTTTTTACTTATTTGCGTGATTGATGCATTTTTGAAAATGATTTCTCATCACAGTTGCAGTAGCATAAAATTAACGCTATTCGACGACGGCGAAAGAGTAAATGAAATGAGTTTCAAGTAAAACCTGGGAGACTAACTTCGTTTTGACGAGTGTTCAGCTTTATAACTCAATAGATATTGAAATGATATACTTAGAATTTGCAGGTTCTGTTTCAAAAACATTGTGAGATTTCGGGTTGATTTGGGAGCAATTCTTCAAGCCCATATAAGTCATATTATATATTGTGACGTTACAATATGTTTTCTAATTGATCCTATCTTCCGCTCCTTGCAGACACCCTTGCGCCTTACTATTGCTATACACTTTAAAGACTTACAGTTATAAACATAACAAAAGACCTGTTTCCATACACTGTGCATTCGATTTTGTGCTCGCTATTTTAAAATCTTACTCCTAATTCGTGATTTGATAGCTTTAACGCGACTGATCGCATTTTCGTCAACGAATTCTCCAAATGCAGAATACAAAACTATACCAAACCATACCATGCCGTCTTATTTCACCATTTCTGATTTGATTTCAATGAACGGCAAAAACTCCAATCCAATTTTAATGAAGGGCATACAATACCAATAATGACGGACTGTGAAACAGACCAAGCAAATTATATTGGGCTGGCATCGTCTTTTACCAATTTTAAAAATTGATAGACATAGTTTCCTCGAATTTTCCAGTAAATTATCAAGTCTAGTAGGCTAAGTCTAAGCGTTCTACGTAGTAGTATATATTAACGGTTCTACAAATCTATACAATTGGCCACCATCTGAACTAAATTGACTGAAACATATTACACAAATGAGTACTTCTCGATTGAGCAGCATTTCCTCTCTCGGTGGCACAGGCATCAAAGCCTGCATTGCATTGAGTTATATGTCCTACCTCACATACATCGGATGATAACAATAAATATACAATCATTTAGAAATTATGTTCAAACAATGGGGCTTTTTTAATTCAAAAATTATTTACGTTACAGAACATACAGAGGCAAAGGGGGTGACCTTTTAATATCTGGATACCGAGTAATGAATAGACTGAATACCATAAATTTCCATCCAACTGTAACAAAACTTGCTAGGCGTAATACCAATGTATTAACCTGGCAATGCCAATCCTTGATTTTTTGAAAAATCAGTTTTGTCACGTTATCAGCATGTCCGAAACATTATTCAATTTCGAATAGACAAAACAACATAATATAATTGCAAAATTAACAAGAGAAAGATGCTCAAATAAATGGACGCAAAATGCAAAACGCTGTAGTTCGGGTATGCAATTTGTCAAAGTAGAATACCGGTACCAATCGTCACGATGTCATAAAATCGTGGAAGACAGCTATCACGATGTCAAAAAAACGTGTTCCCATAATTTAAACTTATACATCGACTTCTGAGATGAAATATCAGATCTCACAGAAAATTTAGAAACAAAGAAGAGAGTAATAGCTTTGCAGCGAAAAATACAATCTTTAGGCCTAAACACTGTGAATTTCAATAATTCCTATGATAATGATCTTCATAATTCAGTTTCAACGTGAATTGAAATACCAACTGATCCGAGTCACCTCTGTATTACCAGACCATGTACCGCAGTCTATACCGTTCCCTATGAAAAAGCTTCACGATTGCGCGTGTAATACTGGCACACGGGCCCATCATAATCTTCTCTTTATTGTTCCAATTTTTCATATGTACACTCGAAAGTAGTACCCCATTAAAAACTTCCCACTTTCTCTAAGCACGAGATCCACCGGGGTTCGCTGAGCATGAGATCCGCTGATATGCCATAGGGCGCACAAATCTTGATGACGTCATAGCACACACAAAAACGAAACTCATACAGGTCACAGAAATATTTGAAATAAACAAAAGTAATAGCCTTTTGGCAAAAAGTATAATCTTCAACTACTGAAATTTTCAAAGCAATTGGTCCAGTAATT